TCATGGCACCTGTAGCTCCCGCTTCGTTTGACAAATTACGTTTCACACATATACCTGATACATCGAGAACCAGGTGATGATCTGCTCAGCGCTGGTGTTGATAAGCGCGTGGATGGGAAAGACCGTCTTTGTGGTACATTCCTTGGGCTTACCGTATTGGGTAAGCGTTTCGGGATTACGCCGATGTACACAGTAGCACCTTGGCATCAAGGCCCGCTCCATCACCGCTCTCCTTGTTTTCTATCGCCTATTGCACAAACATCATGACGATTCCCTCGTCCTAATCAAATTACCTAGGTATAGGTGTTTGGTCTTGAAGTTCGAGCCTAATACCATGTCTTCGCTCTTTCGAATCGGTCAAGTTCTGAAGGGGCGTGCTAGCAAATACACGATTACGAAAGAAGTCCAAGATACCGTGTGGTTCGCGAAGTAAGCAGAACACACCCAATCTTTATTACCAACCCTTATAACTGCTAGAAATCATTTGCAGGAGCTCGTGGTGATAAAGAGCGTGCAAAATCACCCGCGGGTGGAAAATTAAAGAAATTATTGGAACAAGGTCTCCTCTGGTGGTATGACTACCATAGGGAACCGAGTAGAGGTATGTTAGGTCACCACGTATTGGATTGAACTACACTAAGAGCTGTTGTTCTGTCTTCTTATTATCATGATGATCTGGGGATTTACATGACAGATCATCATTCCGCGTCGGTCCTTCTGCTCGGGCTTACTTCCACGAGCCTCATCCCCGCCGACCTGGACTGAACCTTACATCTTCTCAACACTCCCCCTCAGGGCAGGTCCGGTCTAAGGACAACTCCTAATTGGTTCTTGAATTTCTCGAATGCGACTCGCTGCAACGGCTTGTTCTGCTAGGTCTCTGATAAAATGATAACAGACGTCGATGTGCTTTGATCTTTCGTGAAGGTGAGGGTTCTTTGTAAGTGCAATGGCACCCTGGTTATCTCCTAGCATCTGGACCTTGTTGGTGTCTTTTCCAATGTACTTTGGGAACCCAAGATCTCTGAACATTTGAGCAATCCACTGGCCTTGCTTACAGCATGTTGATAGTGCGATGTATTCAGATTCGCAGCTTGACGTTGCAACAGACCGTTGCTTCTTGCTAGACCATGATATTGGACCTCCGTAGAACATTGCAGTGCTCCCTGAAACGCTCTTTCGGTCTACCATGTCGCTTGCCCAGTCAGCATCAGAGTAGATGACAAATTGCGAGTGTACTCCCCCTGGTCCGTAGCGTAGCTTCATTGTTACTGTCGACCTTAGATATCGTAGCAGGTTCTTCAACGCATGGCCATGATGTTCTGCTGGATCGCTCATGTATTGGCTTAGCTTTCCGAGGGTGAATGCAATGTCTGGGCGTGTAAGAACCATAGCAAACATAAGGCTCCCTATCACTTGCTGGTATTCAGTGATGTCGATTCGGGTGTCGTTGTTAGTGGCTGGCCTAAATGACGTGTAATCTGCGGATGGAATCTTCTTGTCTCTGTGTTGTTTGCTAGACATTCCAAACTTGTCAAGTACTGCGTGTATGTACTGTTCTTGATCGAGGTAGATTGTGCGGCGCTTTCTGTCTCGCGTAACTCGTACTCCAAGGATCTTATGAATCTCCCCTAGGTTCTTGGTGTTGAATCTTCCAGAAAGCTTCTTGTAGAACCAATCAATTTGAGCTCGATCTTTTGCGGCAACAGCAATGTCGTCAACGTAGACGAGGATACGGAGTTGTTTTTCTTCGTGGATAAACATGCACGGGTCGGCAAGGCTTTGCACGAATCCCCATGCCAGAAGTTCTTTCTTTATTAACAAGTTCCAGTCACGAGCAGCTTGTTTGAGTCCATATAGGCTGCGGAGAACTTTAAGGACGTATCCTTTCTTAACTTCTACTCCCTGGGGTTGCTTAAGAAAGATCTCTTCCTTCAAATGCGACTCTGTGAAAGCATTCTTGATGTCAAAGTGAAAACATTCTAGGTTTTCCGCTGCGACAGTGGCCATAAACAGACGTAAGGTGTCCATGCGAACTGTCGGGGCGAAAGTCTCGTTGTAGTCTGTTCCGTGTACTTGCGTAAAACCTCTTGCCACAAGGCGTGCCTTAAACCTCTCAACAGTCCCGTCGAGATTTGTTTTGACTGTAAAAACCCACTTTGAATCAACCATGTTCGCGTCTTTTGGCTTTGGAACTTCCTCCCAGGTTCGATTCTCCATTAACGCGATTATCTCTTCAAGTATTGCTGCTTTCCATTGCTTTCCATACTTTGGGTCGTTGATAGCTTGCTCGTGTGTCTGGGGGATCTGGATTCCTGCGATCTCGGTTGCTGCAAAAGCCTTCTCAGATAGTCGTGTTTGCTCTTCTATAAGGCCAGCTTGGGCTAGCATAGCTTTAACGATCTTGCTAAATCTCTCGTCCTCAACAACCTCTTCGTTAGACCTCTTTCGTTTGGCTTGTCTGGTGAAGTATCGTGGAGCCTCCTCTTCTCGTACAGACTGGGTATACGGTTCTTCGGGTCCCTCTTCGTCCACAAGATTAGGAACCCGCTCATCAGATGGTGCAGTAGGGGGAATAGTCGTTAGCTTCCCTGGTCTTCCTCTGTGACGCTTAACTGGTTCGGGAGTTAGCTCTGCCGACGACAGTTCTATTGGGTTCTCGGGAACTGGCTCCACTATTTCTGCAGGAGATGGTTCCATTGGTTCGACAGGAGATGGTTCCATTAGTTCGACAGGAGATGGTTCCATTAGTTCGACAGGAGATGGTTCTATTGGTTCTGCAGGAGATAGTTCCATTGATTTGGCAGGAGGTGGTTCCATTGGTTCTGCAGGAGATGATTCCAGATCCTTCCTAGGTCTTCCTCTTGGTTTTCGGTCTGGCATCGTATTCTGCGTCCCTTGTGGTCCAGCTGGTATGTTTCGCAGTCGTAGTTCAACTTTTCCTCCAGGGGTGTATTCGTCCACTGATAATCGGCTTGTCCTTGAGGTGTATCCAAGCTCTGGCGAATAGAACTTGAACTGCTTGTTTGTTGTCTCAGAATATCCCATGAATACTCCAACTCTGCCACGGTCCACGAGCTTGTCATGTCGTTGGTCTGCTGGAATCGTTTTGGGGTTGATGTAAGAATAGCATTTGCTCCCCCATACACGGATGTGGTCAATGGATGGTTTCGTTCCTGTGAATGCCTCTTCAGGACTGACTTGCTTTCCATTGATCGTGGGTCCTGTGTTTGTGCGGTTTCGCAGGTATGCGTCTGCTTCGACAGCTTCATCCCAAAACTCAATTGGTAAACCAGCGTCTTTCAGCATTGCTCTCATATCAGCTTCAGCGGTTTGGATGTTTCGCTCAGCTGGTCCATTCTGGTGTGAGGAAGCAATTGTTGTAGGCTGAATTTCCACGCCCTGTGTAACTCTCCATTCCTCGGCTTGCTGTAGAAGTTCTGGTGCGTTGTCAGTTCCAGCAGCTTTAACCTTTTCGCCAGTTTGATGTTCTACAAAGGTCTTCCAGATTTGGAGTTCCCTTTGTGCGTCTCCCTTTTTCTTCAGCGGGATAACCCAGTTTTTTCGCGTGTAACTGTCAATAATAAGGAGGAACCACCTGTTTCCTCGCAGAGATGTTGGAAAGGGTCCTGCAATGTCAAACTGTACTAAGGCTAGCTTCGTGGCCTTATGCTCTCTCAGCTGCTTAGGGATGCTGTTCTTCATTTTCGTCAGAGAACACACTTCGCAGATTTCTATCTTCTCTGGAACTTGAATCTTCTTCTGGAGAGTTGTAACTTCGTGGAGTTTAGCAATCTTTGCAGGTCCTAGGTGTGCGAAGCGTCTGTGATACAGCAAGTATCTCTCCTTTTCATTAACCTTAAGCTCGCTCTTAACTGGTGCATGGAGTTCCGTGCCTAGAAATGCTGTTTCTTGGTATCCATCGGCAATGTGTGACACTACGTAGAGGCCGTCGTCCATAGTTGCTTCAATAATAACCTTCTTTCCTAGTTTGAAGTATAGTGCGTGTGAATTGAAACGACCCTTCAGGCTTGCTGCGCAAATTCTTCTTCCTGATAACAAATTGACTCCAAGGTTAGGTACAAGCAGTACTTCTGACAGCCATGTCGACGATCCATCCTTACACACCACTTGAGCTTCTCCTTTCCAGTCCGCATATAATTCTCCCCCTCCAACCCGAACGACTCTTCGTTTGATCTTAATCATTCGTCTAAATAATGAGGGTTGGTCAGACATGTGAGAGGATGCGCCAGTGTCGGCAGCCCAGGTAGATGGAGAGGCCTTACCGACGATGTCTTTTGAGAGACGGCATGTCTCAATTTCCTCGGGTTCGGAGTCTGAGGTCTCAGATAATTCATCTGACTCTGAATTGACTTCTTCGGCTCCATATGCTTTGCCAGTCCTTTTGTGGGAATTCCTTTGCTTAGGTGTCTTAACGAGCAGCTTAGATGATTTCTTAGCGTCGTATTCCTTAAGGAGCTTTCGAGCTCTCTCACGTCTTGGGCAGTCTCGTACGCCATGGGCTCCATCACAAAGGAAGCATTGGACCGTGAATTTGGCACCAGATTCGGAGTCAGACGATAGTGGCGAGTTCTTATGATTTCGACGCCTGTAAGGCGGAACATACTTCTCCGTCTTTCGGAATGCTGGAAGAGCTTTTTCGTTGGCGTCTTGCTGGTCTCGAACCTCCTTCTCTTCCAGAAACTTAAGTTTCTGTTCAACCGTGAGGTTAAGTTGGGCGTTTAAGGTGTCAATCGTAGTCTTGAATTCTTTCGGAAGTGATCTGATAAGAACGAGTAGTAGTGCAGAGTCCTTGTAAGCTCCGTTGGTGTCGGCGTCTGCACAGTCCGCAACAATCAATTAAGTGGGTCCTAGAAGGTTCAGATTGGATTGATTGATTACCGCTTTAAGCCTAGTAGTTACCTATAGGAGTTTAAGCCCTACCTAGATAGGTAAGTGGGTCTAGGAGAGTGACCGGATTGAATTGATTGTTGCGGAGTCTAGGCGTCTGCTGCTACAAGTTTACGTCGGTAGTCCTTTAGCTTCTCCCATGATCCAACAATCGTGTTCCCGGGATTAAATGTGAACGTTTGAATTCTAGTCATGTATATGTTGGCAGTTGTGGCGTCAGTTTGGGTGTACTTCTTTTGTAGGTAGGCCCAGAATTGGAAGGCAGTATCGTATTCGTCAATGAGGGCTTGGTCATCCTCGCTAAGCGACCGAAACAAGAGATCGATTGCAGTGGCTTCATCTTCTAGGTACTTGTCTCTTTTTTCAATGTTGACGCGGATCTTGGTATGCTTGTCTGTTTCAGCAATTTCCAACTCTTCCATAGCCTCCGTTAGTCTACTAGCTGTTGCTATTTGACAGTGCTGTACCAGATTTTTCTCGCAGACATAGAAGACTTTCTTCCCCTTAAGCTTGACCTTGTTTCGGCGAAACCAAGTATCGTGGTTTTCGGCTGTGAGCTGGGGGATCTTCCATTCTTCCTTCTCTGCAGCCATCTTGTGCGGGTGATGCGGTTGATTCGGGCGATGCGGGCGATGCGGGCGATGCGGGCGATGCGGGCGATGCGGGCGATGTTCTGCGGGTGGTGCAGTCGTTATCGGTTCTCGAGCGTGGAGACGGTGTGTGTAAGTATGGTTGCGTGTCAACCGCGTTGTACACGACTTTTTCTCTTTTCCGATTCCTGCTTGAATCTAAGTCCTTCGTGACTTGGGTGAGTGTTTTTGATTCCTTCTCGAATCTAAGTCCTTCGTGACTTGGTTAGGTGTTTAAAACCAATAACGTTGGGTTAGGCAACCGGGCTCATAACCTATTGGAACAAGGTCTCCTCTGGTGGTATGACTACCATAGGGAACCGAGTAGAGGTATGTTAGGTCACCACGTATTGGATTGAACTACACTAAGAGCTGTTATTCTGTCTTCTTATTATCATGATGATCTGGGGATTTACATGACAGATCATCATTCCGCGTCGGTCCTTCTGCTCGGGCTTACTTCCACGAGCCTCATCCCCGCCGACCTGGACTGAACCTTACATCTTCTCAACAGAAATGTACTTAAGAGGACGGGTTTGTTCACACAGGTGCATTGCCACCTTGGGTTAGCAACGAAGTGTGTGTAATTAATAGGTACCCTAGATGTCAAACCAGATAATTTTTTTGTTAATCTGTAAGAAGGCGACGTTCGATTTTCCGACGTCCAACTGGGCGACTTGGGTGGATGCTACCCCGCTAATTCTGAGTGGGCTAAATCTGGCACCGTGGTAGGAGCGCCCATGTGGACAAGCCTAGAGATTCTCATAGAACTGCCGTGGAACACTGCGGCCGACATATGGTCTTTTAGAGCTATAGTGCGTTATAGTCCCACTACAATTATGAGTATAGCGAAAAGCTGATGTCGCTATAGCTTATTAGCCTTATCTACGGTGGACACTTCAACCTCTTTCAACCTAAAGGATTGAACCGCGACGACGAAGAATATGTGCTGGGGGTTGTCGAAGAGCAATTTAAATATTTTGGTCCTTTCCTAGCCAAAATCTCCGGGATTACAGACCTAGAAACGGTCCGCTCTATCATGTTACTTATGCAAAATATCCTAAAAGAGAAGACAACACCATTTTCGCGAACGATTGAGAGCGAAGTCAGCTAGAGAGACAACATTTTCATATCAAAGATGATGAAACTCGATTGGAGAGACCGCCCGACAGCAAAAGAGTTACTAGAAGACTAATGGTGGAACAACGACGCGGAATAGTATCGACTAATATACCGTTTAGTAGGAGTAAGATACTTACTGTAGTAGGTCAAGGATATGAAGAGAAGTTGAGATAAATTAAGAGGGCAGATGACTGATAGTGAAGCATCTGTCTCACCAGCGCAGGGTAGCCCAATCCATAGATATAGTCGTGGGGTCGACTTTGCGGCGTGATGGTTGCACAGCATCGTCGGCATAGTCGCCTAGTTGTCGTAGAAGCTAGTATTATATTTTGACATCATGCTATATATAGAAGCAGGCAATCCAGATCGCTGAATCTCTCGGTGATATGCAACGTCTTTAGTCAAACGGCCAATAGCGTTCGTACTCCGCTCGTTCCTCCTCGTTCAATGCCAACTGCTCAATCAGTTGTTCTTTCATCTCCTTGAGTGCCGCTCTACAAGAATCATATAGCTGATGGTCGATAAGGCCTTTGTCCGGCCACAATTCGCCCATAGTCTCCTTCACCTGCGCCACTAGTTCTGTTTCAGCCACCGCACAATCACCCTTTGACTTGATGCGCTCAATTTCCACACCCGAAAAATTAAATGGGAACTGACTCTGGCCCGTGGCTGCTGTCAGTGTCGGCCATGTGTCCTTCAAATCAACCAGAAGAGACTGGAAGTGCGCCTCTCCGTACTCAAACATCCTGTATGCTAAGAACAATAGCCCAAATGATGATGTCTTTTGGAACCGCTGCCTTGTAAAAAATTGGGTTCTTCCCTTGCATGAGTTTTCGCCACGCGATGAACACATTTAGGTGCGCGTAATCACGTAAGGCTGCGGATTTCTCTTCCGAGGAAAGACCAGCAAGATCTGGCTTTGGAGTCAAATCTAGATTCTCTGGTTCGAGGCCTTCCCAGTCAAGAAACGCCGGATCTGCATTGTGGTTGAAGAGAGGTGAGATGTGGCAAGATTGCCAATCGATGATGGCTGTGATCTTTCCGGGATTGTTGGGATCGACAAAGATGTTATCACCATGCAAATCGTCGTGCCAAAGGTATGGAGCGCAAATGGTTTTGTTTCCAGGGAGGATTGCATCGGCAATCTTGTGGTACTGGCTAAGCGCAGTTAGCTTCTCTTTCGGATCTGGTTGATAAAGCTTGGGGCCACAGAACAGAGCTATCTGTTTCGGAGGACTCAGAATCTGAGTTGCTTTTGTCTCCCTCTCACCGATCGATCGTAAGTACTGGCTCAAAGAGGCCCCTGCAAGAAATTCAGAATCAATACGAAGTCTTCCTGGGCTGTGACGTACATGGCCCTCTTCTGATGTCTAGGCTTGCCCGGCCAGCATCATGCCAGTCCCGCCCGGTAGCTGGTCCTACAACGGACTCTGAGTCCCTGGCGACCGTGCCGTCTTCGATGTAATGGCCCGCCGAAGGTGATCGCACATCGCTGGCATAGTACAAGCCGCCGTAGTGTGAGAATGAAATGCTAAGCCATCGCTTTTGAATCTGTACGAGAGCAAGCAGCACTTGAAGCTTTTGAGGCAATGGCATCGCATCCCAAACCTGAGAGAGAGGAACACCCTTCGCCTTTTCCATGATGATATATTCAGCTCCAACTGAATGCGATGGCGCATTGGAATTCCATGCGTAAACACGAGGCGCAGGTGTATCAAGTACTCTTCTAGCCTATACCAGTATTAAGGTCAGTCCGAACTTGGAAATCATCAGCTCAAGAACCTTATAAAATCTATTGTAGCAACTTCACTAGCTGTGGTGCAATGTGCGCGGCCTGCATTGGGGTTAGGTATTTTAGCAACAACTTCTTGGCCGTCGTCCATGAGCATCAGGAGGGCTTTGTTGAACATTCCGTGCGTGAGCTTTCTGAAATCGACACACTGAGCAGCTCCAACTGAGTTTGCTGCAACCTTCACGAGCTCATTCATGTCGAACAGTACCTCTCTTTTTCTGACATTTTGATTCTCATCCAAGACAAAGCGGCCGCGTGTGAATTTGAAAAACTCATCTCGGGCATTCCAATCTGAATCAGTTGAGCGATACGTTTTTTCGACTTTTAGATGGCCACTGTGGACCACGTACCTGTAGTTTGAGATTTCAATTTGGTGGAAGATATGCCGTTTGACGAAGTATAAGCTCTTGGGAAAGCCGTTACGACCGCTCTGGGATTTTGAAAATAGCTACGGAGAGAAGAACGGGTTCTCTTCATGCCGGCCATTGGGGCGGCGCATAAATCCCAATTAAATATGCTTCACAGTCGCAATACAGGTAGTTCTATGAAGGATGATGGATCAGAAGAATACATTGAAACGCTCGTGTACCTTTCTATTTATGATGTGGAGATGATGTTTGAGTGGCAGTAGTGATTGGTGTGACCATTGTACTGAAATTCATGGTGCAGTAGTAGATGACCAAAGCTTGAGGTTTTCGACTTTTCGACCCGCTCGGGTATGGGTGTTTCTCGAAATACCTTGAGCCACCTGGATCTGGTTGGCTTGGTGGCCAAGAACATCAACTCCTATAGTAATTTGTTAGTAAATCGATGCAGCCACGCTTTCTAACACCCACAACGTATTTGAAGTTCATTGTTTGCTGCGATCGCCTCTACTGACTCGCGTTTTTGGTGTTGCAATTTTCTCGAGCCCATCTCATCGCGATGCCAGGCACCGGCCACCGCTTGCAGCCCGCTGTTCTCCAGGCTATCCTCGACCGAATTGCTGCCTGCGAAAGTGATCGAGCCATCTCTAGAGCTACAGGTGCGAGCCGTAACACAGTAGCAAAGCTGAGGTTGAGCTTAGAGTTTTGGGGCGTGCCTTATCCGCCGCGCTGCGTTCGACTTGGGCGGCCATCTATACTCCGGCAAGCTCAGCGCGAAGGCCTTCAGGCATACCTCAATGGCTCACCGGGCGCATACATGGATGAGATGAGGGACTTCTTGTACGACGAGTACGACGTTAGGATAAGCCTTGCGAGCGTTTACCGAGAGCTAGAGAAGATGAGATGGTCTCGCAAGCTTGCAACAAAGCGGGCAAAGGAGCAGAGTGAGCCACTCCGCCGCCTCTATCTTGCCAGGATGGCGCAACACTATAAGGCGGAGCAGATCGTTGCGTTGGACGAGAGCGCCTGCAATGAGCGTACGGGCGACCGCAAGTATGGCTGGTCTCCAATCGGGGAGCCGGTGGAGCTATCACACAGCTTCAGGCGATCAGAACGGTGGTCGCTGCTGCCAGCCATGACGATAGATGGCTACATAAGCTATAAGATCTTTCAAGGCGCGATTACATCTGAGATCCTAGAAGACTTCTTAGAGTTTCAAGTGCTGCCGTTCTGCAATCCTCACCCAGGGCCAGCCTCAGTAATCGTGCTTGATAACGCCTCCATCCATCGATCAGAGCGTGTACGGGTGAATTGCCCAAAGTGCTGGAGTACTCCTTGAGTATCTGCCGCCATACTCACCAGATTTCAACCCCATCGAGAAGAGCTTTAAGCAGCTCAAGGGGTGGATGAAAAGGAATTCAGCGCAAGCGGAGAACTTCATTGACTTTGGGGTCTTTCTTGAGTATGCAGCGCAGCTGGTGTGCTGTAATATTAACTGCAGAAGCTGGTTCCATAGGTGTGGCTATCCCTATTAATTGTGCTTTTAAATGGATGCCACAGTACGTTTCTATAGGTAGATGATACCATACAAATGCGAACGATTACACCTTAATGCGCAACCCACAAAAGCGATTTAATAATTCTAAAAAAATAAGAGCTATTTCTATACATATAGAACTATCTTAGGAAGTTAACCTGTTATAATCGCATAACGTTGTAGTGTTGTACATAGGGCTATCCAAATAGACTATTGTTGCAGCGCATTTGAAACGCCTGAAAAACCTCAACACTATAGCGGGCACGGGCCGCTGTCACCAAAAACGCTCAGGCCACTAAGCTTCAAGCATTCTCGCCATCATCCTCCACAACACTGCTAGACGGTTCAACCACCAATTTCTTGCGCGCAATCTCTTCTCTTTTCTTACAACGTTCGACTCGTCTCCAGTTACGATCTGTGAGACCCTGGTACCCAGCTTGCCATTCTTTTGCAGTGTTTTGTAGCGTGAAAAACCAGCCAGGAGGCTGCTTGAAATGCTGCGTCCACAACTTCAAGATATCACCAGATGGCTGCATCAAGAGGTTGATATCCATAGCTCCGTCAATAACAAGAGTCTTATAAAGCTCGTTAATGTCCTCTCCAACTGTAGGAAATTTTAACTTAAGGTAGTTAAAGAAATTACTAGTATGCTCGTTAATCTCCTGCTCATGATCATATCGGATAGGCGCCCACTGAGATGCACTAGATACCTCAGCTCTTGTTATCGTTGGTGCAGCTGCCTGCAAGTTAGACTCCTGTTGAGGTTGCCTGTTCATCCGCTCAAGCTGTCCAACGATGAGCAGTTTTGTTAAGCTTTTGATATCATCGTCGCCATCTCCAGCCGCCCGCAACTTGCGCGTTTTCTCATGCACCCGCAGGTCCTTTGCTCTCAAAATTGCAAGCCGTACATCATCAGATGGCTCATCGTACGTTGCCCTTCTCGCTGTAATTGCTCTTGCCCACATGGAGATAATGTTGCCGTTGACAAAGAGGTGATCTTCGAAGCGCGCTGGCTGCCTCGCTGTTGGCGCCATCCAGCAGCAATAAGGATAGTTCTCGCAATGGGTATCTGTACAGCGCCATCTATCCCGGATAGCAATAGCATGCCCGCTACCTGCTTGTTCAGCTGCTATTACACCAGCAAGCCCCTCCTCTTGAATCACCGTTGCGGTGCGTCGACGAGGACCGTCGACAACCGTTGGCAACGGCTGCTGCTCCCCTGGAATTTCAGCCAAGATGAGCTCGAAATCGACGTTTACTGGCTCGCTGACATAGTTATCAACCTCTACAACAAGGCGCTGAAAGCTATTCCACGTTGCATCAACACCTCGCCGCAATCGCTTTATCGCGCGCTCGCGTTTGGCCTGCTTAGCTGGGTAAACAACAGTGCAAACAGATGAGATCTTCGCTCTTTTTGGCCGTAATTCTGCAACAACGTCATCTACCCACTGCCATAGGTCGTCGAAATGCAGCGAGTACAGCCGTACGCCGTGCTCGCTATCGGCAGCTTCAGGAATAAAGTGTTTCTCCATATCACCACCAAGGCAAGCCCTCCACCTAACGCGCAGTACAGGATTAACCTCATCCTCTAGCGCTTGCGATGAGCGAGGCAGCCATGGAGTGCCTTCTTGACGTCGGTACGCTGGCTCTCCCTCATCCTCAACACTACCGGCAGCGCCCTTAGCAGCGATCTCATCCTCATCCTCAGGCAGCGGATCGCCATCTCCATCCTCGAAAGTATCCTCATCCTCGCCAACGATATCTTCAGCTTGCGCGGAGGCAGCTGTTTGGGTGGCTTGCAGCTCAGGCTCGGACAACGGGCTTTGACGGCGCGGCGGGGCAGTCGCTGGAGGCGACGGCAGCGCCTCACGGCGGACACGTTTAGGCGTTAAATGGGTAGGATTTTGTCTAGTTGCTGGCGCTCTACGCTTCTGGGAGGACGGGTTAACGCCTTGATCGAATGGCTGCTTCGGCTTACGCTGGCGCTTGGGCGGCATCCCAACAGCAGCTAGATTGAGCTCGCAACAAGCTCCACACAAACAAAACGCTATACACGAACGATTTAGAGTACAGGACTAGCTTCATGGGCTTCTGGAGGTGGGAAACGGCTGCTGCATTAATTTACTAACAAATTACTATGGGAGTTGATGTTCTTGGGCACCAAGCTAACCAGATCCAGGCGGCTCAAGGTATTTCGAAAACCACAATAAAGCTTAACTTAGTCAGCGGCACTATCTGTCGCACGGAAGACGTAGAGAACGTTCGGAGTATTTATTAGAAGCTCCCAGGATGTCAGAAGGGATTCTCATACGGAAAGAGGCCAGCGCAGTGATAGTTCATAATGCATTAGAAATCTACCTCGAAGACAATATACATCAATAATTTCCATCCCATGTACTCCTTCAAGCCCCGCAAACAGTACGAGGTCTAAGCCTCCAGTACCCACCAGAGACTCCAAACACCAATGCCATGCATGCATCATCAATCAATCATCACCATCGTGAATCCGTGCCTAGCTTACCAAGCTAAATCGCTCTTCTCGTTCTCTGTACCGCACGACAAACCCTCACAGAAGTCTTCCATCTCCTTGCTGATCGCCGCGGTACCCGTAGGCTCAAGCTGCTGCCTAGCAGGCCAGATCTTGCGACCCTCCTTCTTCTCCCGCATACCGTGCTCCATGACGATCTCGCGACACCGCTTCTGGAAGAAGAGCGGTCCCTTCTCCATGTGTGGGTGCAGCTCGCCGTTAACAAAGACGCCGGCCTCGATGTTCTTCTGCGCACGCTCGCATAGTACCTTGTCCTCGCCCATGACGCGCTTGTAGGTGTCGCTGATGAGGAGGAAGTCTTCCTCGCTGGAGTGCTTGTTGCGCCATACCTCGTAGTACATGACTGACTCGGTTGGCGACTTGGGCATGAACTTTTGCATGAAGAGGAAGTGTTTGGTGACGGTGAATGAGGCGTTGGGGAAGCAGTATGTGGAGCAGATCTCTTGTCCGAGGTCCTTGCGATCTTGTGGTGTGTTGGGGTCGTGCTGGATGTGGTCGGCGGAGCAGTAGACATCGTAGCTCTCGAGGTCGATTATGCCGGTTGTGAGATCTGGGTGTGTGCTCTTGCAGTGGTAGCATTCGTTAAAGTTGTCGGCGAGGATCTTCCAGTTGAAGGGACCTTCGAGGTTCCATGTGTGGTCGAACTCGTAGTCGTCAAAGTTGAACTGGTCGAATCGCTTTTGCTCGTCGACGTGGTCGAACTGTGACTCCCATGAAACTTCTGGCTCCTTCTTGGAATCCATGTTGATCCAGACGAAGCCGTTGCGGTCAATGCGTGTGTGGATGGGGAAGAGTCCGTTGTTTGCCTTCTCGAAGTTTTCCAGCTCCTGGTAACCGGGCGCCTTTGCGAGATTGCCGTTCAGGCCATATGACCAGCCGTGGTACTTGCAAGAGAAGATCTTTGCGTTGCCGCCGTCCTTCTCGACTACAGGGTAGGCACGGTGTCTGCAGACGTTGTGAAATGCGTTGATCGTGCCAGTACGGTCCTTGGAAACAACAATGTCATAGTTGGCTACGTTGTAGCGAAGGAAGTCGCCAGGGTTCGCGAGTCTTGACTTGTGGGTGAGGATGAGCCATCGGCGTGTGAAGATAGCGCGCCTCTCGAGCTGGTACATCTCTTCGGAGGTATACCAGTTGGCGGGTAGTGCCCGAACGGCTTGCTTCTCTGGCGGGACTTCTGTGGCAGATTTGCCACCGAAGCCAAGGTAACTCAAGAGTGACCCAACCATTGTGGAAGTTGTTCGCTAAGACTGTCTGAGATGCTTATGTGTGGTATAATAAGTAGAAGAAATGACTACTGGTGTGGTTGTACAGTTTGCTGGGGAAGCTGGTGTTCTGCTCGTGGACGTCGGGAGGATTATTATACTTTCTATTCAACACCCCCCCAAGAGTCTGCCTTATCAAGTCAAACCATTCACTTAGTCCCCATGTGGTTATAGCTTCCATCCGCTCCTGAAACGCGACAGCCAGTGGGAGGTACGAACGTAATCAGGCTGCAGGTGACCGTCAAGCGCCACAGCTTCTGGCTGCTTTCGCGATCTCTCCGCAACCGTGTATCCAACCATCGTGATCAGCCCATGATTCTAGACAGGAAGCTAAAACATCATAGCTCTATATTAGTGGACGACAGCGTCTTACCCCAGAGTATTTACCGTTGGCAGATGCAAACAATGGTCATGGTGACTGAATGCAAAGACCGTTCTCGTCATTGCCCCTCTTGTGGGCGCGGGCGTGATGGATCTGATTTCCAAATGCGGACATCGGACGCCACGCCAGGCTCAAACACTCTAACGACAACAAGCTCCGGCGGAACTACTGCGGTATCGTTTTCCTGGCCTATCGAGCTCTTATCGATGAGTTTGTGGAGATGTAGATCCTAACTGTAATAAATGATATAGCGATTCTATCGCGATGCGATCCCGGCTTGTGTTTATCGCTGTAGATAGTGATACCATGATTCTGCAGAAGCGAAAATCTGAATTAACTGATTCCAGGCTGAAGATCGCGCAAATCCAGCGTCAGATTGACAGCGAATCCCGAGGTGCGCCGAAGGCGAGCTGCGATACAGGGCGCGAATCATGCCACGTTTGCAGGCAATAGAGTGCCGCTGATATGGGAAGACGTGGTGTCGTATCTGAGGGAGGCGATGCACTGCATGTCACTACCCCTCATGGCCATATATTTGTTGTGTCGGGGGGCTTTGAGTGCTTTCGGCAATCGCAGTCGGTGGGTGATGGCAGCGCCGTGCAGCGTCACATGGAGGGCTAACTCAAACCTGAGGTCGCTAGGAGAATTGTGCCATATAAGTTGTCGTCTGCTACGAAGTCTCGGGGTCTCAACAGGTCTGTGAAAGGACCATCTTCATCAAAGCCAATTGAGGGCCACCTCGAGCCTTGGACTGCTTGCATTGCAGATAGCAGCCAAACGTGTTGGCCTTATGCTCCACTCCTATTTTTTGTCTGGTACAGTCTACGATGCGGGTTCTGATCACAACCCTTTTGTTTTCAGACTGACCGGCAGGATGGGGAATGGTTCCAGTGGAAGTGTTTTTCGCGGGGCTTTTGGTGCACTGGTATGGTGACCGGGCTTGTCGCGGTAGTTGTTTGCAAGTGATTCCGGCAAGGCGTGAGGGCGATCCTCACCGCGATACTTTATCAAGTGCTTTTCTTTGCTGCAATATCAAATTGCAGCGGGTGTGGTTCGTTGGCAGTGCTCGACACATCATAGGCCGAGATGTCCTCTGGGAAAAAGAGCATGATAGGCTTCTTCACTATGTATACTCACCCGATCTCGTATGTGATGGACCCGTTGTGGTCGCAAGAATATTAGGAAGGAACGAACGGAGTTGCGCACACGCGGGGCGGGGTAGTCGCAACCTAAGTAGTCCCGCAACGGCTTACTCTTCCCGCGTCCAGCAATGCTGCGCTAACCTCAAAACGGATATCAGGACCCTACACCCATGAGTGGCATCTTCCCCACCAATGTCGTGGGAATCACATGCGGGGCGGTGGGCTTTCTCCATGTAGTATTTTGCCGTTAGACAGGCAATGGGAAATATTTTGCCAATTGAAGTGTTGGGCCACGGTTAGATTCGGCTTCTATGATGAAAGAGCGCGTCGACATGGTCCGTTATCGCGAGGGCAAACAGCCTTAAGAGGAGTGTTTCCTACAGCTCTTGGAAGCTAATTACTCTATTCCATTCTTCCATATTCTTACAATGGCGACCTCTCAGCGCGTTGTCATCATTGGCGCTGGCATTGTTGGCACCAACCTCGCCGACGAGCTCGTCTCACGCGGATGGAAAAACATTACCGTGATTGAGCAGGGCCCGTTGAGCATGCCGGGTGGCTCAACTTCGCATGCGCCCGGCCTAGTCTTCCAGACAAACCCTTCCAAGACGATGACCTTGCTCGCAAAGTACACAGTCGAAAAGCTGCAAGCACTCGAGAAGGACGGACAGAACTGCTTCAACCAGTTGGGCGGCCTCGAAGTAGCAACAACGCCAGAAAGATTGGAGGAAATCAAGCGCAGGCATGGCTACGCACAGTCATGGGGGATTGAGGCACACTTGATCAGCCCAGAAGAATGTCTTCAGAAGTATCCTCTTCTCAACAAGGAAATGGTACTCGGCGGCTTGCACATCCCCAGCGACGGCCTAGCGTTAGCAGCTCGCGCAACCCAGATCCTTATCGAAAACACTCGCAACGCCGGCGTAAAGTACCTTGAACACACCGTCGTCACGAACATCGAGCAAGCGAACGGCCAAGTTACAGGAGTAACAACGAACAAGGGCTCAGTCCCAGCGGACATTGTTGTCTCATGTGCGGGCTTCTGGGGTGTAGAAATCGGGGCTATGGTCGGATTGAAGGTCCCACTCCTTCCTCTGGGGCATCAGTATGCAAAGACGACAGCTGTCCCAGGTCTCGAGAACCGTGAAGTCAACAAGAAGATCAACGCCATGAACGCCGAACTTCCGATCCTCCGTCACCAGGACCAGGACCTGTACTACAGAGAACACGGAGAGCAGTTTGGTATTGGCTACTATGGCCATCGTCCAATGCCCGTGAAAGCCTCTACGCTGGGCGTGACACCCGAACACGTCGACGAAAAGAACATGCCCTCTCGTCTGGACTTTACACCAGAGGATTTCGAGCCAGCGTGGAAGGCGACCAAGGAGCTACTTCCAGTGCTACGACAAACTGAGATTGTAGACGGTTTCAACGGAATCTTTTCGTTCACACCGGACGGCGGATCTGTGGTTGGACAAGCTCCCAATCTCGACAACTTCTGGGTCGCCGAAGCTGTATGGGTCACGCACTCAGCGGGTGTAGCTCGTGCCGTTGCCGAGACGCTCACGGAAGGTCGCTCGACTGTCGACATAGCTGAGTGTGAACTCACACGGTTTGAGGAGGTCCAGCTCAGCCCAGAGTATGTGAGCGAGACTTCGCAACAGAACTTCGTCGAAATCTATGACATCATCCATCCTCTCGCACCGAAGGAGAACCCACGAAATCTTCGTGTCAGCCCCTTCTATGCTCGGCAGCAGGAACAAGGCGCATTCTTCCTTGAGGTTGGCGGCTGGGAACGCCCACACTGGTACGAAGCAAATGCGGGGTTGGTCAAAACTTTGCCAGAGGCTTGGAAACCTGTCGATCGAGATGCTTGGTCATCCAAGTTTTACTCGCCTATTGCGGCGGCAGAGGCCTGGAAGACCCGGAACGCTGTAGCATTGTACGACATGACCACTTTCCACCGATTCGAGGTATCTGGTCCTGGCGCAGTCCACTTACTCCAGAGACTCACGACTAGCGATGTTTCCAAGCAGCCTGGATCCATTACTCACACATTGCTCGTCAACACTCATGGTGGCGTATTGAGTGATATCTTCGTATCAAGACTTGAGGAAGATGTGTTTCAAGTGGGTGCAAACACCGCCACTGACCTTGCCTACCTCGCGCGCCAGGCTCGTGGTCAAGTCAAGCACACGCCCGGCGAATGGGCACAGGTTCGCGACATCACTGGCAGCACCTGTTGCCTCGGTCTCTGGGGCCCAAGAGCCCGCGACGTTATCCAAACGGTCAGCTCGGACGACTTCAGCAACAGAGGACTACCCTACATGGGCGTGAAGAAGACGAGCATAGCTGGCGTGCCTGTTACGATATTCCGAAAGTCGTTCGTAGGAGAGTACGGCTGGGAGATACAGACTACACCCGAGTACGGCCAGCGCCTTTGGGATATTCTATGGCAATCAGGCAAGCCTCATGGGCTCGTCGCCGCCGGTCGCGCCGCCTTCAACGGCCTCCGAATCGAGAAAGGCATCCGAGCCTCCGGGTCCGACATGACCTCCGAACACAATCCCTGGGAGGCCGGTGTAACGTACGCGATACAGATGGACAAGAAGGCAGACTTCGTTGGCAAAGCTGCGCTGGAAAGCCTTTCGAAGAAGGCTGCACCCCGTAGATTGAGATGTCTAACGGTCGATGACGGTCGGTCCATGGTGATGGGCAAAGAGCCTGTCTTTGTGGATGGGCAAAGAGCTGGCTATATTACAAGCGCTGCTTTTGGCTATACAGTGCGTAAGCCAGTCGCATATGCTTGGTTGCCCAGCAATGTTAGCGAAGGGAAGTCAGTAGAGATTGAGTACTTTGGCAAGAAGATCAAAGCCACAGTAACTCAAGATCCATTGTACGACCCTCAGGAGCGTCGCCTACGCGGTGAAGGCATTTCGACCGAGCCAGAATTACAGAAGAGGTTGAAGTCTCTCCTCTAGTTGGAGATTGTAATGTGGGATGATTGTTACGACTGTATATGAGCATCAACTCGGCGTACAGGTGGTTTTATTGTGGCGTTTTATGGGAGCTTCACTCTCCGGCGTTGGTCAAATCGAATGTGTTTTCTGGTTCAATTCTTTGTTGTATGATGATAGATTTCCAGCTTCCCAGTGAACATGATCCCTTGGCCGATGCGCTGAGATCTTCGTGATGCAAACGAGCCAGGTTCCAGAGAGAGGCGGAGGGCAAAAACATGTCGCAAAGCCTAGTCGCATCGTAGATGCATCTCCGTCGTTGTCGAGGAAATAATCATCTCTGTGCCTTACGTTTTTGATGGTACGAAGGTTTAAGGCGATTCGAGGAAGCAACGCGACGCGTTTACCAAAGTTGGATGGCGTCCGATGCCGACACGTGACACGGAGTTATGGTGCGGGCCCGGCGATACGCATCAGTCACGTCACTGCCTCCGCTTTCAAACTTCCATGACTTCGCGCACAATTCTTATCAGTATATTCCTTATGAGCTTATTCGCAGCAACGATCAAGCGCTGTACATTGTCACCTCTTGTAAAGCCAATTACCAAAGTCAATGTTTGTAGCCCGCGGTAATTCTGGCTGTTGTGAAAACTAACGCCAAGCAGCCGTCGTTCGCAACTCTACGCGCCATGCATATCCAATCAATTCCCATGTGTATGAGCACCCTGATGGAAGTTTTGCACCAGTTTGGCATGTACTAACTCTTATAGGGGAGGGCACGGGGAACAACTATGCATACCTGGTATCGGATGACAAGACCAAAGAAGCCGTCATTATAGACCCTGCCAACCCTGAAGAGTGCGCTAGATTCATCCATCCGGCGGGGCCAAGCTAAACAATTGACTGTAGAGTATTACCGGTTTTGAGGGAGCAGACTACCACCGGGGGTCTCAAGCTGACCAAGATTATCAACACTCATCAGTAAGTTAACTACCACCACAGTATGTGCTGTGCTGATTAGTGTGAATAGTCATGGTGATCATGCTGGTGGAAACGTGGACACCGTAAGTACGGATATAATTCTTCGATACTGCTTCTAACCTGAAATTCAGATCAAAGCCTTTGGCTTGCCTGTAATCGGTGGTCGCGATTGTGCTAAGGTTTCCACAACCCCTGAGCACAACAGCACATTCGAGATCGGATCGATCAAAGTGAAAGCACTACGTGAGTGATGCCTCATATGCTAGATAGCTGTGAATCATACGTTGACGCTTTACTCTTATCCACAGACACACCTTGCCATACCCAAGATTCCATCTGCTTTTACATGGAAGACGGCAACGACCGCGCTGTTTTCACCGGTGATACACTGTTCATCGGCGGTTGCGGAAGATTCTTCGAAGGCACCCCTGAGCAAATGCACAAGGCTTTGAACGAAACCCTGGCCTCTCTTCCGGACGACACAAAGGTCTACCCGGGACACGAGTACACCAAGGGCAATGTCAAGTTTGCGAAGAGCGTGCTGAACAACGATGCGATCAAGAAGCTCGACGAGTACTCGCAGGCAAACAAGGAAACGCAGGGCAAGTTCACCATTGGCGATGAAAAGAAACACAACGTCTTTATGCGTGTGCAAGACCCCGAGATTCAGAAGATCACGGGCAAGACTGAGCCCATTGATGTTATGGGTACACTGCGAGCGATGAAGGATAAGTCATAGAAGGCTTGTATTTATAGTGATTACTGGGATATCAGTTGTATGCAATCAACAATCCAATCACGTTTCGTAATCGCCTTGTTCCATCTTCTGCCATCTACTCCAGCTCTCAAATGCTTCTCGTATTCAATGATGTGTGTCATGAGACACGTGGCAGTATTTCAAATACGCAACATCATATTCACTCACTGTTTTGGTCATAGCGTGAGATGTGCTCGATAGGATGGAATGTGTATTATGTACGCCCAAGAATTCATCTAGGATAATTGTGGATCGCTGCAAGGATGTTTGTGTAATAGAGCCCCATGACGTCTTCTCAAAGAAATCAAGGAAGAGAGAGAGAGAGAGATCTAGACGTTGGCAGCATCGAGCTGGAAACCTGGACAGCCCTCTCTCCACTCATCAAAGTCCTTCTCGCCCGGCATCTCCGTACCATCAGAGAGCTTAAGTCGCGGAAACGACCTTTTCTCACGATTATAGGTAGGCTCTTTCGTAGCCAGCTCTTCGTTGACCAAGACAAGGGCTCCGGAATGCCAACCCGCGGCACTCACACCTAAAGCAAAGTATGCGCCCAAACCATCTTCACCACCATCTTGGTCCCATGCCTTGGCCTCCTGTTCGAACCATTCGCTCACTTCGCCTTGGACATTGTGGTGGTGCTCCCATATCTGTTTCCGTTCCTCGCTCTCTTTGTCGTCTGTTGGCTCATTGATAACTTGGGCCAGCCAGTCGTTTTTTCGCTCGTCAAACCAGATCTGACGACCATTTTTATAAGCATGGGGTAGCAGTCGTCCGTTGCCGTTAAATTGGTCGTATGTTAGACCACGGGCCTTGCCGACTACTGCTTCCTTATTCGAGCCCAGGCCAAGCGACCCACAGCCGCTGTTCTCAGTTCCATACGACGTGATCCTGCCGTTGGAGTGAAGGGCAAGGTAATGGTAGTCACCGAACGCAACTGAAATGACGCCACTGTTTTGAAGAGCGGGGATCTTTTTGAGGCCCTGAATATTCGTCTGTTCGGGGTCCTCCCGCCGATTGGTCCAGCATGCCTCTAGGTAGTTCTGGTCGCTCGTGATGACCTCGCCGTCTCTGAAGACTGCGAAACTACGGAACGAGCCCTGGATATCTAGGGGAACTCCCTTGTCGTGGCGCACTTGCTTGAGTTCAAGAATATCGTCAATCTTGTTCTTATCCTCGAATCTACCACAGAAGACCTTGCCTATATCCGTAGCGAAGACCACATAGTGTTCCAGTATGATGTAGCTCAAGACTACGCCGACCTCTTCGCCGAGCATTCTCTGCTCATCCGACTCGCGCGTTGTCTTTGATCGTTGATAATTGGACTTTGGTACTTCCGAATGTTCCATAACAAGCATAGTATCTGTACCCTGATCGTCATGATCGCGTTCCACGGGGTCCCAAACTACAATACCAACGCCATGCACATACGCTGAACTGCGGCTCCATCCCGCTACAACCTGCCTGATCTGTCCGAAATTGGAGGACGGCGTGCTTGAGTCTTTGTTCAGGGAGAGCTCATTCAGCTGTAGAGTTGCAAACTTGACCTGGAGAGCAGGTTGTTTCTTACTATACCACGACCAAATCTTGCCATTGTCTGACACTGCCAGTACATGCGATCGTCCAGCCGAGAATTGTCGGATAGCGACGGCGGGCTCTTCATACTGAGCAGTACCGGCATGGGAAGGGTAGCCTTCTGGAAAGTGCAGTAGTTCCAAGGGCGCACTCTCATGAAACACTCTCTGACCATCGAGAACACCGGCTATGTGGAGGGAGCCTTTGGATGTTAGAAGGGTCGTAGACCAGCCACCACACTGCATATCGGCAATGACACCTAGGTTTCGTGTATGTTCCATCTCAACTGGACTTTGTGACTGAGGCGGAGGACCGGTCCTTCGTACGAATGGTCCTCTCATCATACCCCAATTGGAACGAATCCCACCAGACGCTTGGGGAGCGTGTCCTAGGCGATTATGCGAGTTGTTCCCCCATGTAAAGACGCGGCTCTGGGTAAGGAGACGCCGATACATCTTCTGCCATCGATCACCATCATGTTGTACAACAGGCTGGTTGGGTACGCGAAATGTGTTGCGGACGAGGTAGCTCCAGTATGGAGGGTCGAGCCGTATCGATGGCTGGTGAAATGACTTGCATGTACTGCAGAGGGCGAGGAAGGACTTCGCATCTAGGTAGGGGAAGACGAGGACGAGGATATCGAGAGGGAGGTCGGTGATGGAGCTGATCTTGTCGGCCATTATGACGTCTCAGTGCTGCAAAAGGCGAAAGCCTGAATGTGATCAGCAACAAGTGAAAGGCACTATACGGTATCGTTGTAAGGTTATGAATCTAGGCACAAGGGGCGATAGTCATAGCACTTGGGCGAGGGCCTGCACGTAGATGGCCTATGACGCACGTGCTTGGCGCGGGGATTAGTGCGGGACATCTCCGTTTTTGCGCTAACACCAAAGCAGCTACCAAACTTGTGACTCAATTCACGCATGTCTATCAAATTTCCGCCTGCCTACCAGGGCTGACAACTACACATAATCACCGCTTCTTCGCACCTAGTAGCTATAGGTATCTTGTAGCACTCGGATTGGTCATAGAATTAGGCCAAAAAATTCAATTCGCCCCACCAACACCGGTCGTCTGACGCCTGACTGGCCACATTTCCATAGCAAAGGAGAGCAACAACACAACAAGGTCGCCAATATGTCAGAACCACCGGCTACTGAGCCAGTACAGCCTTCGGCACCTCCTGCATCAGCACCCGCGGCCCAGGAGAGTGCTTCCGCAGCGACAAATGCTGAAGCTACAGACGCGCCCAAGAAGCTCTCACCAGCAGAGCTCAAGAAGCAAAAACAGGCCGAGAAGCAAGCAAAGCGAGCACAGGCCAAATCAGTAGGCGGGCCATCGAACCAGCAGCAAGGACCGGCCAAGGACGGCCAGAAGCAGCAAAAAGACTCGAAGCAAACATCAAAAGACGACAAGTCAAGACCGTTGGCACTACGGCGGCGGCCATCGCAACCCAACACGCCAACAGCCAAAGAGCCAGAGAAAAAATCCAAGAAAGAGAAAGAGCCAAAGCAGACTGGTTTATTCTTTGGTCATCTCTACAGTCAACCCAAGCAGCAATCTCTTGTTGGAGCGTCCAAGGATGTACACCCAGCTGTACTTGCGCTCGGTCTACAGTATAGCAGCTATGCTATATGTGGTAGTACAGCGCGAATGGTGGCAATGCTCTTAGTTTTCAAAACAGTCATCGAGACCTACCAAACGCCTCCCGGCAACAGCTTAGCTCGACATCTTACTAGCCATCACCTAGGTCCACAGATTGAGTTCCTGAAGAGCTGTCGGCCGCTCAGTACCAGTATGGGAAATGCGATCAGATGGTTGAAAGACAGTAAGTTGGTGTCTCAATTCAAGTTGGGAGAAACCACTCGATATTTCTGCGGTTCATGGATAGCATGTTTCCGAGGGCGATCTGGCTGCATGCTGACTTATTATAGTCATCATCAAGATAGATCCCTCCACGCCTGAAAATGAGGCCAAGCGGGATCTGATTGAAGAGATCGATATCTTCATTCGCGAGCGTGTTACAGCTGCCGATAGACTTATCCGCGATCTAGCAGCTACTAAGATTCGGGCGGGTGATGTCGTTCTGGTCTACGCAGCATCCTCCATCGTCGAGCAAACCATCATTCACGCTCATCAGTCTGGTAAACCCTTCACAGTCATTGTGGTCGATTCAAAGCCATTGTTTGAAGGCAAGCAGCTGGCACGCAAGCTCGCTAATCACGGCATCACCGTACGATACTATCTCATTACAGGCGCCTCACACGCCGTAAAGGACGCAACCAAAGTGTTTCTGGGTGCACATGCCATGATGTCAAACGGTCGTCTCTACTCTCGCGTTGGCACGGCAGTAGTCTCCATGCTCGCCCACTCACACTCGCTACCTGTCATTGTGCTCTGCCAGTCCGTCAAGTTCACCGAGAAAGTCGCACTAGACTCCATCGTCGGAAACGAAGTGGCGCCAGCTGAGGAAATACTTTCCGAAGCCGAGCGTCGCGATCTACTTCCCCTCAAGCCACGTCTCTCCGCATCGAAGGACGACAAGTCAACCCCAGAAGATGCCCCGGCTGATACTTCAGACGTTCTCAAATGGATCGAAGACGCGAAAAATCTGTATCATCTCCAGGTTCTATATGACGTCACACCTGCGCAGTATATCAACATGGTCATAACCGAATACGGAAGCTTGCCGCCAAGCTCGGTCCCTGTAGTCCACCGCCTGAGTACGAACATATGAATCCTGTCCCGCGTTTCTTTTTGTGTGTTCAGAGTACCTTCCAAAGCAAGTGCTAACCTTGGTCGTTCAGGAACTGAAGAGCAGGAGACAACGACCACAAAGAGGGGTATCCGTCAGGCTACAGGGTGGTAGAGCAGGCCGAACGAGGAGATCAACGGTTTCGGGGTTTCAAGTCCTTGGATGGTCTGCACAGCCACTCTCATCTCATGTAAACTCTCTCAATCAGCTGTTCGATAGTTACTTTCGAATGCTCAGCCCGCGACCTGTTACGTCATTTGTTTCATACACGTCTCTAGATGTGGCTGTATCCTACGTCGTAGTGTAATGTTTCAGCTCGAAACTTGTCTAATAAAACTTTTTGTTGCCACCAAGTTCATCTCTTGAACGACCATCTACCCAATGTGGTAGAGCGGGTACGACAACCGCGTCACGTGCCTACTTAGCTACGGCATCGCCGTAATGAAGGTCAGGCAACTACGAGTCCATTCAGCAAATGAGGCTCTCATCTCAAGCGTAAACCCAACTACGACTAGAGACGTGAAAATCACATGCCAGTGAAATGGTGTTGCTGGTTGACGCCCGATACACATGATCCTCGGTCTAGATGTCGATCTGTGCTGCTGCGGCCCCGTGGCGGCGTCTCCGGAGAAGGAAGAATGGCAACTATTTGCGAGGCAAGGCCGAAACACGATCTACACATGGATTGTAGAATCAATTGTGCTTTCTAGATATTGCGACTGGTGGAAACTACAACGGTTGGTGACACCTGAATTTTCCCCCCTGTCCTCTACTGCTTACCTCCGACTGGCATTCTGGATTCGAATCACGCAAACCAGCAGTTTACGAATATGCCAATATTATCCTTTTCCTAACTTGGGAAGAGCACCTCACCAACCAACGGAGGTTGTATACTAGCGTTGGAAGAGATAGGGTCTCCGTCAGATAAACTTCGTGTAGCTAGTTCGGGTTCTCTGGCCTTCCAGATGCTGTAAGGGCACTTTCGAGCTGGATGGTCACCGCACCTCGCCGAACGATGGAGCAGTTTGAATTCCCGATTACCAGGAACCTGTTTTTGCTTGCTTTGTTTCCAAGCCTTTCTAGTTGCTGCTGAGGTTGCACGCCAGTGGGCGGGGATTATGTAGGGGCTTGGTGATAGACGCCATGTTGGACAAATCGCCGGTCCAAGACTGTCACAGGTACATCTCAAGTTGATGAAGTCACAGCTAAACTGGAGGTAGGTATGTTTATCGAGTATCAATATGGGGTATACAGAGGCGCGGGCTGAAGACATCGAGACCACTTGGCAGCTTGCTTTCTCTACTTGCATTCGCGATCGGAGGAAGAGACAACGCAGAGTCGCAAGAATAGGTGCTGGGCCCGCAGAAAAAAAGCACCATCCAGAGGTTTGTTACTATATTCTTCTACTTGATGCGAATGATTCTTTGTTTAGATGACGCGCCTCTCTCGTACATGAAAGCCTAAATATGTCGTCAAGCGTAATCAAAAGGGAACCGAGCGTTCGGTTGGCGTTGCAGCAAAAAGCTGAAACCGCAATCCTTTCCCACTCTGCAAACCTTACCGTACCCGTTCGACGCGGCCGCCTCACTTCCCAATGACACAGGCGATTGCGCAACAAAAAAAAAGCTGCAATTTGGCCGCTACAATACCTGGTCGAAACAACAACCTGACTGCGAGGCGTTCAACGCCAGCTCGCCGTTGTTCCTCGGTGCAGGGATGCGAGTAGAGCCATGGTTACCGATTAGCTTGATGAACCATGCAGGCAGCGCCACACGCAACGCCACCATCGCATCCTTCAGCTGAACACCCACACGCCAAGCTACGACGCACTGCTGAAGTGGGCGTACCAAACCATGCTCATCCTAGTAGGATCGGTCACGTATGCCTTGCACACGCGCACTCTTTGCAGCTGAACATGACGAAGCTTCGTTTGCCTTGTTGGTTCAACCATGGGGGGCTTGCGCTTTGCCATCTCCCTTTGGCCCGCGACCGCCTCTCCACACCCCTTCTTCGTAAGTAGCACCAGATCGCGGGCGTTTGTGCTAGCTTCGCCGGAGAATGCCGTGGCTCCGAGTTGTACCTGGCGTTGCTGATTGACACTCGCCGCCGTGAGAAGGCGAACAAGTAAAGTAGCATGGCGCGTGAGGAAAGAAACCATATGTGGGCATGTGGCATGCAGGAACCAAACGCGGCTTCTTCCTGTTTCACTCCTGGCGTACCAAATCCGCCCCCGGTTATCGGTCTGTCCTTTTCTCTCGTATTTATATGATACGAAATCCCGGCAGCGCATCGTACGCAAACGGGCATCTAGACAGGAGACTTGGTACCTACGCGAAGACCTAAAATCGGTTGGGGTTTTATTGCCAGCAGGATTCACATCCTAGTGCTTATGCTAACGGCGATATCATTGTCCCTTTCTTTAGAGGTATGTTTGCTATGAAAAGGTCGTGGTTCTCCTCGTGTCTATTTTATTGACGGTTGGTTAGTGTCACTACTATATCCTGGGCCTGCATCATCTCCACACTTTGGACTACGCCGGGTGGATATCTATCTAGATTTATATTTCCTGGATCACCTGCCATATTTGTCCCCATGCCTCCACTTCCTACGCCGTCTAGTCAAGCCAGTGGGAGAAGCTGGCTTACCAATTCACCCGAACATCATCAGTACCTACTCGAGGGTATAGTCCTGTGGTCACTTTTCGTAACAGCCTGCCGGTCAATCGTCATCCTGCTTGCACGCAGAAAGAGCAGGATGTCACGTTCCAGTCGAGATCGATCCAACTTGGCGTCAAATCAAGATGAAAAGAAGCCAAGCTCCCACCAAAGAAAAGACTCATATCAAGACGAGCTCTCAAATTCACCAGCAATCAAACAAGAAGATACAGAGACCACAGCGCCCTCGCCTCGCATAAAACAAGAACAACCTCAATACGTCCCCGCCACGAATCCATCTTTCCCAATTCACCCAAACTCCTACCTCGACTCCCTTAGACAGGAAACCCTCCAACCAGCATTCATCCCAATCTATCCCTGGATATCCGCCCCAAAACCCCTTCCGGGACCTTACGATGCACCGTACTATCCCCTCCCTCTACCAACTCTGCAACCAGAAGCAAGGGCGCAGACCGCAACTGAGATCCATGATTCGGCCATCAAAACCGAGGAAGTTGACCGGGAGGAGGAGTTAGAGACGGCATCGTATACACGTCACGTTCCACCTCACAGCACGCAAGATAGTGAAGCCGTGCTCCAAGGCGCAGTCATCGTGTCGAGTAAAGGATGGCGGCGTACGCAGTGGACTGTTGTGACTGGATGAAGAAGTATTATTTGTCAGCATTGTTACTCGCAGAGAGGGATGTGGTATAGTCACGTGCTTGCACTATTTCACTGTATTCCGCGGAGAAAGAGACGTCAACTGTGCGAAAAACATACCGAAGTCAAAGTAGACATCTGGACCGTGTTTACACTACTCCGACTACACCCATCGATCGATCCACTCCACCTCGCTTCCTCACTACAAAACCAGTATAGGACGTCTCCTCACAACGGGACAACCCGGATAATTTTCCAGTGAGCGCCAAAAATGGGCTTGCGTAGTACTTCGCTTACCTTGGCAAGGTCGAGTCATGGGCCTTTTGTGTACATTGTGGCGGCTGTATAGGCGAGAAAATGGCAAGCTGGGGCGGCATGCGGCCATGTCGTATGGGTAAGGAAGTGGATTAGTGTGGCTTGCTTGCTTCTTTCCTTGCTTTGATGGCTTGGCTTGGCTTTTGTATGTAGCTGAAACGTGAAGCTAGGGGGATATCTTGGTTGTAAATTAAGACATTTGACTTCACTTGTAATATGTGTGTAGCATGTTTCCACTTTCCCGTCTTCAACATGTCTTTCTAGTGAATACTCTGGATCTCATGTGGTTTAATTGTTGTTACTGTATATGGACTGGTGTCATGCCGATATGACACCAGTTCCTGTATATATCTATGGATGGCCCTGTCTCTGTGCCCGCATGACCAAGATGCGGTCTGCCTGCTTCATTGAAAAGCTGGATGCTCGTAGAACAGCCTACAGGCAAGCTGAGGAAGGTCGCTAGTTTTGCTCCGCCGTGCATGTGTAACCACACGACACGCTAAGACTCCGTTCCATTATCGCAGCCAAGAACCTCGTGATGTCTGCCACGCATATTGATCTCCTGCCGTGCTCCATCCATAGACTTAGTCGTCGGATGGATCGGACTTGCTCGTCGAATCTTGTGTAGGCCTTACTCGCACATGTGACCTCGGCTTCACGTAGCACTCTTCCACCTCTGCTCGAATTCCACCTTCTTCCTAACCACGCTTCTCAACCACTGGTCCAGATTCTCTGACTCAGCCTGTGCATCAATGTCCATTGCCTCGCCCTCAGCTTCCAATTTTACGCCACCATCATCATCGTCTTCCTCATCTCCACAGCATGCTGTTTCAGCCATCTCACATGCCTCGGCCCATTCTTCGTAGCTGAACCTGCCATCGTTTTCGCTCATCAACATTTTTCTGTTGCCTGAGAAGGCAAAGACGTGGACGGCGCGGATGGGTTTGGCGCGGAGGAGTTCATTTGCGGTTGGCGAGAGCAGTGGAGGAAATGAGTTCGTGGATGGTGAGGCGGGTTGTGCGATGATTACGGAGGTCAATGTTGTTCGGAGGGGAATAGAGGCTGAGAGGAGGGCGAGGAGAGAGGTATGTAGGAGGTGTGGGAGAAGGGTGAGAGACTATGTTTGTTAGCTATGGATATAACGTAGTTGCTAGAGTCATGACGAACAGTGTTGACGCCCGTTGTGCTGTCTTCTCTGGCAAACTTCGAACTTGTAATGTGACTTGGACTAGTGTTCGGGGTATTGATTGTGTCAAGATGATGCTGCGCAGTGTGTTGTGAACGAGGGTTTCGAGATGTCGCTCGCGCGGACCTTGAATGTATTAGTTCTCCAATGCTTCTATATACTCAATCTTGGAATAATACGCACTTCCAACGCCCATTGCGGGTCGAACGTTCACCTCAATCGCTGCTTCCTCTGGCAATTCATCGCGTCGCTGTACTTCGATGGGCCCGTTGACAGCGCCAATGATGGAGTATCCGTTATGTGTGTAGGTCGCTGATCCATCGGCGCGATTCAGATGCGTGAGGGTGACTACTGGGGCGACCATTGTGCAGTGTATGTCGTCTCTGTATGATGCGTCGCAAGATGGAATACTGGTGACTTCACTGCGCGCAAAGTTGGAGATGTAGCGTGGGAGTTGCGCGAGATGAAAACAAGTCGGTAGCCAGGAGAATCAATCGCGTAGAGAAGTCTCGTGAAGCTACCAGGTCAATTCTTTCGACGAAAACAGTGAAAAAAGCGTGTCGTGCTGCACACCTCCGTCACCTCCCACACCCAAAAGTTTTGGTGGGGAGAAGCTCCGTGCACCTGGCGGCTCAAGCTCCACCGAGGCGGCCGAGGTGCAGCATGCATCACCGCCGGAACACATCCTTGCAGCCAGCAAGAAAGCCAACCCAAGTATTCCGTCGCGCCGCTGTCCAGCCTCCTACTATTCCGAGCTTCCTTCACAGCTACGCTCTTACCTTTTCACTGACCATTATATCACTCGCTTCGACGTATACTGAATATACACCATGGCTGGCTCGGCACGCACCGCATCACCCATCAAGCGCTTAATGACGGAACTGCAAACCTACCACAACGACCCTAACGATGCGCTTCTTGACCTCGGACCTGTGGAGGACGATGTCATGCAATGGAGGGCGGTTATGAAGGGTGTACCAGGCACGGCATATGAAGGTATGATACCTACACCCAAACAAAACACACGGCCTCAACCAAAACCCTCCACCGCCTTTACCACTTCTCCCCATTCACTCACATTCATACATTTACTAACAACCTCCAAGATGGTTGCTGGCTCCTGTCCATCTCAATCCCCCCAACGTACCCCCTCGCCGCGCCCACGATCCGCTTTATAACGCCCATCTGCCACCCCAACGTCGACTTCAAAACGGGTGAAATTTGCCTCGATCTGCTGAAGACGTCTTGGTCGCCAGCATACACGCTTTCCACCACCATGACGAGTATACACCAGCTGCTTACGAGCGCGGAGCCGGATAGCCCGTTGAATGTTGATATCGCGCAACTGTTTCGAAGTGGGGATGAGGTGGGTGCTATGAGCTTGATCAGGTTTTATACCCAGTGTGAAAGGTATCACTGGAGGGGTGTTGGGGACAGGCGATAGGTGGGGAAGCGTTCGGGTAATGGCGTTTGGGATAAGATACCTATTATTTATGAAGCGAGCGTATGTTGTGCAAGACAGCCCATGGTGCATGTGATGTAAGTTGGATCGTCACGCGTACTTGGTTGTGATGGGTTTACGACGCGTAGTATTGATGTTGTTGATTTGCGTGAAATAAAATGTCGTTGAACGCCCTGATATGCCAAAGGAGATAGTGTACCCGAAAAGGACAGAGGGTAGTTATCAGTAAAGACTGGTGCGTAGGTTGAGTGCATATACAAGTTATTTTTTTGTCGTAAGTCGTCCCGGTGACAACCGGTGCCGGCCTGTCCCAACGCTTTGCAAAAACCCAGAAGGAATGTCCTGAACCCCAAATGCTCACAAAAATGCGTGTATTCAAACTTCTTCAAACCCCTCTCTGCGATCGTCTTTTTTAGCCTCTTCGTCCAGCAACTCGGTCAACGCAGCCTGCGGGTCCCAATCCGGTACTTCCCACGTCCTGACCCCTGGCCTCGCCTCACACTCACTGAACATCACATCGGAGCTGCATGCTTTAGCTTCTCGCAGCCATTGTCGCCATGCAGGTGTGTCAGGGCACGCAACACTCCTGGTGATCCATTCGATATTCTTAGTAACGACGATAGTCCTCCATAGTGCTTGCGTGAAGGTTGCGTTCTTGGAAGGGTAGCCTTTCTCATCCATTTTCGAATCGGAGAGACACTGATTTTCGACGCGGTAGCAAGACGTATCCCAATGCATCTTTCCAGGTAACGCAGCCACAATCCAGTATGCCGCGCCGAGTAGCATGTAGGAGCCTGCCCATGCTATCTGGACTTGGATTTGAGCATTGGCAAGACAGATGACGCCGCCCATGAGCATCGTCGTGCCCACCAGACTGAGTATCCGATACGCCGGTCCATGTGTCAATAGATAGTCGATGCTCTCAGGGGCGAAGTAGAGTTCCCGTGCAACGTTCTCATCGCACTGTACAATCAGAAAACTGCCTTTGGGGTATCTGATCACAACGTCACCTCGAGGCACTCTCGTCGTCGTGTTCTTTCGCTGTGGCAGTTTCAATGTCCATTTGTTTCCGTAGCCGATCAAACTCGTGAGAAGGGACAATAGTACAGTCGCAAGTATCGACATGCCATCTTCTTGCCATATTGACAGAGCCAGCAGGAGAGCCGATAGTGCAAACCCAATGAACAGAACGACGGTAAGTGGAGCAATAGTCTTAGCCTTGAGCGGTGATTTATCGGTATCGCGGACAATTTTGACAACACGCACCGAGAAGGGATCGAGGTTATTAGCATCGCTGGTGTTTTTGTGTTAGCCATGTTCTATGGTTGTGTAAGCGCACGCGCTTATCATATTACAAAATTCTAGCCAGAGGTTTCTTGCCCTAGCATAGCTATATACTTGGCTAATCAAAGTCTCCGAACAGTGCTTTTGTTCTCTTTGGATACCAAAAGAGCTCTTGTGTTCTGATGAGGGCGCATATTATGAGGATTGTTTTGTGCGGACAGCTGTGTCCAAGCGCTGCCAATCAACATGAAAGTAGTGCACTCACCAAACGATGTTCCCAATATGGTTGATGCTATCTCGGTGATTGCCCGACACGATTCCGGTTACATATCCGGGAAACGGCTCGAGGCGATTAGGTCTGGTTGGCCTCATCATAGCTTGAGGCGCCGGGATCAAGCGCGGCAAAAATATCCATTTGGACAGCGTCGACACTTGGGCGTTGGCGAGTACTGAGCCCTCGCCTAAGATTGCGAGGAAACCAACAATGTCGAGTTGTAACTCGTCTAGAGAAGTGGTACCATTCTGGCCTTGTGAAAGCCAATGCATGTTGATTGGAGCCAAAAGGTTTTCAAGGCCTAGTTAAAAGAAACAATGTTTTCAGAGCTCAAAGGAAAGAGGAATCGAAGGTTATACGATGCGGATAGGGTGCATTGGTGCAAGTAGATGCGCTACAGAAACGAACAGGAAGCTTATATAAAACAAGATGCAGGATTGAGGCGGAGAAACATGTAGATTTGACCAAGTGTCGGTGCGGAGCACGACAAGTCCCACCAGCTGGGGGCCAAAAGCGCCTACGACGCATCGAGGTGTGACGAGCGACACATTATGTACATTCGTTTCGGTCAAAAGCCCAGGAAAGTGGTGCATTTTTACAGCCGCAACCGATTGGCGCTGTTGCAGCTATTGGGTGCCTCAGGCTGATGAGGGGCTGACAGGTTGTTACTTACCGGTAGGCTCCAGTAACCCAGTAGGATGGCGAGGCGAGTTGCATAGCCTCAATCGCTACGGACAGAGACTCCCACTTGTGCGATCCATCTTCTTTAAAGGAGCTGATGCGTCTGTCGCGACGACGTCGCGAAGTTTTCAGCTGCTGCGCCTCGACTACAAGTGAACCTTGACACTGCCTGCGATCGCCATCATAAGTCCGTTGTTCGCAACACCACCAGAACAGACGCACGGCACCAGGCTGACCTTCCCGTAACACGACTGGATAGCGATATCTGCACCACCGCCGAACTGCTCCAAAAAGATCTAGAAAGTGGTATCGCAATCACCAAAATTGATGAGACAAGGAAGAAACATTCGAAAATAGCGTGGATGGACTGATGTATGTCGTTGTTCCTTCTGTTGTGCCCCTCAGGCACGCGATTGTCTTGGCAGCGTTGTCCCTTCCCATTCAACATCATGCATGAGCGTAACATACCTTCTCCCTTAAGGATCAGGTACACTCTCGTAATTTGATTCATCTGCACCGCCAAAGTTCATATACGCCATCATACCAGAGCTCCAGGCAGCAGTATTGTCTCAGCCTTCTTAGCCGCAGGAACGGGGCGCAGCATACCTGCCCCAGCTTGACGTATCTCGTGTGCTTCATTACTGACTCATGCCATCAAACTAGGCCGAAAAGCAGGCCAACACCTCAAGAACACATCACGCAATATACATCCGCTGGCTAAACCTTGATACGTGATCGGATTTTACCTAGGGGAGATCTCGTCGTGTGGCAACTAAGTATCTCTGACTATTAAAGACTCTGCTCAGCCTCCTGGATAGAACCAGTCAATTTACCGTAGCAAGTCTGCCTTAGGCTTTGTTTACGTTCCAGCATAATCGTACATTGTCCCCACACGAGCCCTGCAGTTCCAGTCGACCGGTATGAGCATTTTGTGACAGACTGAAACAAACATCATCGGCATGCCCACTGACGGCGATTCCAAGACCTCAAGTGAGCCCCAACGAGCCCGTTCAAGGATATTGGGCACGTGTGGCATTCTGGTCCCCACATTGTGAGTTTCTGAGCACTGATACTATGTTTCAAGCTTCCGCACTGACTATCGGATATAGCCTTGTACGTGATAGAAACAGATCACCACAGGACCCCAACAGGCCAGCTATGACAGCAGCTAACTCGCCGAAGAAGAGGAAAAGGCCGTTAAGCCCTCTTCCTATCAGTAAAATACCACTACATTCCACACAAGATACAGAAATCAACATGGCATCAGAGAGCAAGAATAATGTTCACTTGATTTTCGAGGCGTCCTTGGAAGACGACAAGAGCATTACCAACTACGCCGAAGAACGCGAAAGGCTTGTCGAATCGGAACGACAAAATGCCTGGGATCGAGAGGCAAGATATAAACCCTCCTCCCAGGAGGAGCGCGCAGCCAACATCATCTTTGCAATCCGCGAGTGGGAGCGAAACGTTATCTTCGGCAATCTCCCCTCGGAGACATTGCCAAAGAAAGATGACCGGGATATGGGCGGTCAATATCTCACCAACAAGGAGTATATAGATACGAGGAGCAAGCTGTTTGAAATTAGCAAGATGGTGCCCAAGGGAGCCCTGTTGCACTTGCACTTCAATGCCGAACTACACCCTGAGTTGCTGCTCGTGCAAGCTCGAAATACCGAGAACATGTATATACGTAGCATTCGGCGCATCGAAAACGAGGAAGACCTAAAGGAGACCGAGATGGTCTTTAGTGTCCTGGACCGCAAGACAGTTGATCCTAGCATTAACATCTTCTCGGACACGTACCCTACGTGCACAAACTTCAAGGATGAGGCTGTTAAAGATAAGATTTGGATGTTATGGTCAAAATTTCAAGACGAGTTCGAACGTAAATTTCCTGGTAAATACAAACAGCAGGAACCTGAAACCTTTCGGGAAGGAAATCTACCATCTCACTGTGGCCAGCCAGCTGTTGCGCGGCTACGTCCTGCTGAGAACTGGCTCAGGTCTAAGATGGTTCTCAGTGAGAAAGAGGCTTATGACCCTGATCAGACTGTCAATGGGTATGTTGTGCCCGGATTCATGAGTATATTTGTTGATGTCATCACAGTGTTTGGGCGCGTTTCAACCAAGCCACCAGAGCTTTTAAAGGCTTATTAAACTACGAAAGAGCCTATACAGAGTACATTGGCATGGCTATTGACCGATTCATTGAGGAGAAAATCATGTACGCTGAGCTACGACCAATGTTGCTTGACAAGGATATTCCTACCAATGATGGCAAAGGAAAGATAGATAATTCTGGCCAAATGCAACTAATCATTGATGCCGTCAACGAAAAGAAGCGGCAGCTTAAAGATGCAGGGCGGCTTCACGAGTTTCCGTTCGGGCTGAAGATCATCTACTGCACTCCACGATCCATTCCCCCAAGTCTGATGATGAGGGATATGAAGGAGTGTATTGAACTGAAGATTAAATACCCAGACCTCATCTGTGGTAAGCAAATACCAAGATTATAACCGTAAACCCGATCTCTGACATGCCATAGGTTTTGATCTTGTTGGAGCAGAAGACCGAGCATTCCACATTGGCTATTACCAGAAACAGTTCATGGCTTTCAAGAAAACCTGCAAGACGCTTGGCGTAGAGATCCCCTTCATGTTCCATGCTGGAGAGACATTGCTCGACACCGGCGGCTCTCACGATCCTGCCAACTCAAACCTCTACGATGCAGTAGCCTTGGGAGCGAAACGCATCGGTCATGGCTTCGCACTTTTGAAGCATCCAAAGCTTGTAGAGGAGTTCAAAAAGGATGGCAAGAAGCCTGGGATTTGTATCGAGCTGTGCCCCATCTCGAATGAACTACTCCATCTTTGCAGGAACATCAAGGAGCATCCTTATCCTCAACTATTGGCTGCAGGTATACCCTGCACTGTCAATTCGGATAACCCATCCCTTTTTAGGTATGTCACTCATTACAACTATCGATCCTCAAGACGCCACATACACCTAATTGTCTAGGACTAACGATTATTATAGCAACTCTATGTCCCATGAGTTCTATCAGATCATGGTGGGCGCGCCTACCATGTCTCTTTACAGCTGGAAGCAGCTCGCACGCTGGAGTATTGACTACAGCTGTCTCTCTGAAAAGGAGCAAAAAGAGGGACACAAGTACCTGGACGAAAGCTGGGAACAGTTCTGCCATGACGTTGTCAACACATACGGACCGAGTGTCATGCACACGGACGAGGAAATAGCACGGGATCCAGTACTCAAGGACAGAGTTGATCCAGCGAAAGCCGCAGCTTACTATGGAGATGATGGTGAGGCCAGATGGAAGAGTTACACGAAAAAGAGGGGCAATAAGAAGTATCTGGAGCTTTAGATTGGCAATTTATGTTGTCAGATAGAACACGTCAATCAATGTGTTTCCTTATATCTATCATTTTTCATGTGAGAAAGCGACTAAGCATGTTCTCTCTGACATTGAGCCGCATGTGAGAGGAAGTTGGAGTAGCCAGATATGACTCCATTTTATCTCCCAATCCTGTCCAACTAAGCAACTGCTACCTCATTCCCAAGCACCCTCTTATCGCTCCCGGTAACCGTCTGCCCCTTTTGCTGGGCGAAGTTGGCACTGCGCTCATGACTCGGGTTGCGGCTGTAGAATTCATCGACGATGGGATGAATCATGACCGTTTGTTTCGAGATGGTGAGTGTACTATTCGTCGGAACAGTGACCCAGTTATCTACCATGATCAGACTAGCTTCCACAACAAGAGAAAAGGATAGGAGGGTTGAAAAACCAAACTTACCACGTTCAAAAGTCAACGGCTCACTAGCCACGAGCACAATATCCGACCCTTTATCCCTCCTCTCCATAACATAATCCCTCTCCCTATCCGCATCATCGTCCGCCTCTCCTGAGTGCACCCCACCACTCCCCTGCAACTCCCTCCAACTAGTCCCCGAGCTGAAAAACAGACTCGCAGCCTCATCAGTCCTACTACTCACATACCGCGAACACACCACACTAACGCCATCTGTCACCGCGAAATTAAGTAAACTCCTCCCTTCCTCCTCGCCCACCCCCGCGCTGCCCACTACATCGCGTATGAACCCATTAATCCGCTCAATCGTCGCCAGCAACGCTTTCCTCAACACCGTATGACCGAACCCCACGCCCGCATCAACCTCCTTATCAGGCGACACACCACTTCTATCCAAACAATCCAGAAACAGAGCAAACGCCCACTCTGAATCCGTACTCCCGCCTACGACGTTGAACCAGCGCTCATCCACATCCATGGCGAGCCGGCGCTTGATCTGCTTCCAGCAGCCGATTCCGCCATTGTGCATGAACATGAGGGTTTTGTAGCTGAAAGGGTGACAGTTGCTGTCGCTGAGGTTTCCCTCGGTTGTGGCGCGCACGTGGGCGAAGATTAGGCTGGACGTGGTTTTTGTGGCGATGCGGGAGAGGTTTATGCAGTTCCACGCAGGGATTGTGGACGTGAAGACGCAGGGCGTGGGACCAAGGGAGGGTGTCGTGTAGTAGCCGATTCCGAAGCCGTCGCCGTTGTGTGGGCGGCGTCGGTCCTGGGAGTGGGTTAGTTGGTTGGGGGAAAGGGGGGTGAGATGAGGTATGGGGTAGAGACGTACGAGACGGAGGCGCGAGTCGAAGGATTGGGTCAGGATGGAGTGCGAGGGGTTGAGGATGAGCTCTGAGAGCAGTATCTCATCTTTGCCCTTGTAGACCTGGGGCTGTTAGATAGATGTTCTGCATGTCTCCTGACGCGAGCCTACCATGAATCGACACATTTTGGGCGTCTAGAAGGGTTTCTTTGGTATAAGGGCAAGTATAGCATGCAGAGGTTGCGACAAGAAAATTACTTGTACATGCGCATCGGTCGTTTGGAGGATAGCGGTGCGTTGGCTGTGGTTCAGGGCGGTGTGCTTGCGATGATTGCGCCATCGGACCAAGAGATTGATGCAAACATCATGGGGCTGTGCGCATGTTGTAGAGACTGTGCGAGGTGATAGATTTCTCGATATATCTCCAGAGACACGCGACATGCATTCACGTACTAAGACACCAAAGATACAAGGTACCCCACGCGTAGTTGACTGCGGATGTAGGTTGGTGGGGCGCCAGGATGCCGCGGATGACGCACATGGACAGCGAACTGTCTAACTAGCCGCATCCTAGCTTACAACATATAGAATAATCACGTAGTTATGAACTGTACATGTATTATAGGCCGATTGCTCGGCGATGTATTCAGCTATCTGGTTGGTATGGCTGAACTGAGAACACATGTCACCCCTCGACCCAAATGTGTAGAGCGCCCAGTCCAAACCATTCCGATCTTCACAAGCTAGGCAAACACGCAACGCCGGGGATATGATGCGGATATTGAACATGGGGTTACAAGACGGTGTATCTTTAAGGCTTCATAATAATCATGGCGAACTGATGGCTGGGAAAGGATGGGGGTGTTGCAAAGAAACACAATATCCTTGCAATCATGGCACTTGCGTGCATCATGTATCATATCGCGTATGATTTCCGAACTCATCCAGGGTACTGCAAACACATCTAGCCGCCTATTCATGGCTGACTAGTATCGTGTGGGGAGAGCTGCACGGCAAACGACGCAGCATTTCAACTTCGGGCTCGTCACGGGCCAGACCCGGCTTACATGTCCATCGAGTCACCTCCATTGGCGAAGTTGAAGTTTTGTTGTGTCTGTTGGCCGGCAGCGCCGAAGCCGAAGTGGCCCTCCTGGTTGACCTGGGGTCCCCCCTCGCCCATGTTCTCGGCCTCACCCTCCTCGTCGGAGAAGTACTTTTCAATGATGTTGTAGGCCTTCATGTAAATCTCCTCGTTGGCGTTGTTCTGGCACTCGTGGATCTTCTCCATGCCGCCAACCTCCTCAATGAAGAGAGCATAGCGGTTGATGGACTCGCCACCAGCACCATCGCCAGACTCCTTGTCCATCTCTCCGACCTTGAGGATGTTCTCCAGACCGTCGAGGGCGACTTGGATGATCTTGTTGTCGGGGCAGGCGAGAAGGTCGCAGAGAGGCTTGATGCAGCCGCTTTGGACGAGGTAGCGAATCTGGGCGGGCTTCTGCAGACCTCCGCTAGTTGCGTTGGAGATGGCCCAGCAGGCCTCCTTGCGCGTCTTGAAGTCGCCGTTTGCGAGAAGGTGGATCAGAGGGGGGATGATGTTAGCATCGATGACGGCCTGGATCTGAGTCGAGTTGCCAGCGGTGATGTTGGAAATGGTCCAGCAAGCCTCTTTGCGGATGCCGTCCTTGGTCGAGCTGAGAAGAGACAGCAGAGCAGGGAGCGAGCCGCAGTTGATGATGACTTGGGTCTGGACGTCGTCACCGGTCACAATGTTACCAACGGATCGGAGAGCGGGGGTCTGGACGGATGTGGAGGCGTGCATGAGCAGCTCTACCAGACGGCGGGGGATGCCAGCCTCGATGACGGCCTGGATCTTGTCGTTGGAGCCATCGGAGAGGTACGAGATGGCCCAGCAGGCGTCGATGAGAACCTCGTCGTCGAGCGAGTAGACGAGCTTGGCGAGGACGGGAAGGGCAGGCTGAATCTGCTGGACAATTAGTATTCATGCGTGAATGTGGGGGGGTTGCATGGGGTGGAGAACTCACAGTTTGCCAGTCGGGCTGGGGGGTCTTGCCACGGCAGAAGTTGCTCAGGGTCCATGTGGCATTGCGCAGCATGCTCAACTTGCGGCTGTCACCCAACAGAGCGAGAAGCGGGCGGAGTGCGCCGGCCTGGAGTACAAAGTCGCGACATGCGGGGCTGTCACCGGCGATGTTACCCAGAGCCCACACAGCCTGTTCCCGAACATCTGGCTCGTGGCTGCTGAGCAACTCGACGAAGATGGGCACCGCGCCCGCCTCAATGACGACCTGTGTCTGCTGCGCCGAACCGGATGCGATGTTGGTAAGAGCCCATGCTGCCTCGAATTGTACGAGCGTGTGTGGGGAGCGCAGAAATTCAACAAAGCGGCTCACAACGCCAGTCTCAATGACGCGCTCGATGGGTGGGTTGCGCTCCTTAGACAACAGCTTGCGGAACTTGGTCGTTGCCTGGATCTGCATGTCGATCTGTTCGGAAAAGACGCCTTTTACCATCTCGGGGAGCTCTTCGTTGAGCTGTCGCCTGCGTCAGCCTGATCATCTCTATACCGTTCGCCCGCTCCCCAGGGGCACGGCTTAGTGGGGTATGTACGAACCTGGCTCTCAATGTTGCCGCCCTCATCGTCGCTGTCGGGGGCAGCGCCCAGCGCAGCACCGGGTTGGTCACGGCCGGCGATACCACGACGCTTGGCGAGGTTCTCCTCACGCTTTGCCCGGCGGATCTCGACCTGTTGCTCTTCACGGCGGCGGCGGAGTTCGTCTGGCTTGAAAGCGCTCTTGGCCTTGAATGTCGTGCGACGGTGCTCGGGGATGTATTTGTCGGCCATGACTGCAGCGACTCTGGTGGACAAGGTATGTGGTGAGTCGGCAAGAGTGTGGTGTGTTGTGTTTGCTGGTAAAGGGGAGTAAACTTTCCAGACAGAGGGGTGATTTTGAATGCGGAAGCGGCGAAGCGGGTATTTGCGCTAGCAGTCCTGGCCTGTGCACTCTACCCAAGCAACCACCGCGACGCGACGTAGACTCCCATAACTACTGTCTCGCCCACTCTTGTGCCTTCTCGCCGGATACCGCCTGCCGTTTGCTAGGCCCGCGTTACTGACCCATTGACTGAAAATATCGCCAATAGTACAGTACATTCTTAATCCTTTCTTTCGCCCCTGCCCTCTTTCTTTTCTTTGTCCACCAGATATCACGCTAGCCGCTTTCGGCCTTTTCCAGCTGCCATGCCGCTGCCCAACGGCTTTACAGCAATCAAAGACATCACAAATGTCGACTCGCTCGTCAGCATCATAGGTGTCCTTGTAAGTTACGGTGAGCCAAAGAGCACCAGAGGAACAGATTTTTCTCTGGATTTCACCCTCCAAGATGACTTCTCGTCTGGATCCATTGGCGATCAATCCACCATCAGCTGTCGGATTTTCAGGCCCAAGGATAGATTTCCCAAAATATCTGGTATCGGCGACGTCATAATCATTCGAAAATTCAATGTCAAAGACTGGCAAGGTCACATTGAATGTATTGGTTACAAGACCGTTGCCATGATTGTCTTCCCAGGTGCCAAGATCCCCAGCCCAAGCCAGAGGCAGCCCTATCAGTGTGGCAAGCAGAAACTCATGTGTGATTCGACCGGAATTGGCCAGCCCCCAACAATTGCTGAGCAAATGGCTGTTATAGATTTGAAAGCTGCCTCGACTGGCGTTTCAGAACAGCTGCAACAGCATGCCACCATTACTGCATCCAAACTCAAATCATCTAGGAAGCTATGCCTGGTCAAAGACTTGCAATTCAATACTTTCTACGATGTTTGCGTGCAAATTGTCCACATCTATTGGCACTTCGGGGGCGGCCAAGTAGATATGAAGGTAACAGACTACACGCCCAACGAGCACATGCACTATTTCCCTGATCCGGAAGAAGGAACTACTTGGAACCACCTCTCGGACAAAGGCTTCAAGGGACCGTATGGCTATCTCACTCTGAGTGTGACCCTATACGAGTCGAACGCAGCATGGGTTCAGGAAAATGCGGCCGTCGGCGACTATGTCTACCTCCGGAACATGCATGTCAGAATGTCAACAGCTGGTCGACTCGAGGGCGTGGTACATCAAGACAAGGATAGACCCAATCAAGTGGACATTCGCCAATTGAAATCCGCGCCTGAAATTGAAGCCATCGACAAACGACGACAAGAATACGAGAAGAAACGTGGTGTTAAAACAGCATTCGAAGTTATGCAAAACCCTCCCAGCAATCCTAAAGCAAAAACGGCAAAGGAAAAGAGGCAAGCAAAGAAGGAAATACAAAAGGCAGAAAAGGAAGCCGAGCTACAAGAAATAGCAGAGAAGCAGCGTGAATGGGAATTACAGCAGAGCAGTATCAACAAGAATAGTAAGTTGCGATTGATCCAGTGCTTCATGTGGCTAATCATGGTAGTTCGAGCCGCCTTTCCCGAAATGAAGCTATCGACAATCTCGGAAATGTTGTACAACCCTCACCTCGAAATGCGTACCCCTGAGAAATACAACTTTTACACGCTTCCTTTTGTAAATTGTAGACATCGATCCCGTGTACGCGTAGTCGACGTCTTCCCCCCAGAAATTGAGCTTTTCACTCATTCGAATAGTGATCTAAACTGGAACAGACAAGCAGCAAAACAGACAACTAGCAACGGGCAACAAAAAGAACGTTGGGAATGGGGGTTTGCTCTGTTGCTTGAGGATGCCAACATACCCCGTGGCACAGTCTCTGAAAAGCTGACAGTCTTCGTGAATAACGACATGGGACAGTTTCTATTGAAAACTCAGGCTGTCAAGTAAGTTCTCATTGCCTACAATGGACTGGTGCACTAATTTCACGCAGTCTCAAAGGCAACCACCGCGTGCTCAAGCTACTAGAAGAGAAGCTCTTCATACTATGGGGTAACTTGATGGAGTTGAAGACAGAGCTGAGAGATCGTGGCTCAGACCTTCCACTACCTCCGGGCGACAATCGACTTCAGAACAAGCCTTTTGACGCATGCATAGAAGAGTATGGTGCGGAAGTGCCTGTCACAAAAGACACACCGTTTGGGTACCAACGCATGCACAGACTGGCACAGACTACCATTCTGGATTAAGCGCAATACAGAAGTTCTGTTAGGTGACGATATCAAAGTTGTTCCCCATCATCGTTCGGTATCATTTGGGAGCGGTAGCTTTGGGGATCATTCCGATACGGTTGACTGTATTATGGTACCATTTTCTTCGCGCGAACACTGGAATTGTGAGTACATCTTCTCCTGATGATCGCTGCTGCTTCATAAGCGCAATACAATCATCTGCCCTGTAATTCGTTTGACAGTCACCGCATATATCTACTCTTCACGAGCTATCGGCGTGTTTCTAGGTAGTCTAGATAAATGTTGTGTTCAGGCTTGTCGAGAGGAGGAACGTACTACGCTGAAGGAAGCCAGTCAAGGTGAAACACGAAACATGCCACTGCCTCCACCTGTACACCCTTTGCCGCTTCCCTCCCCTTCTATACAAACACAAACGTACAAAAATCCTCAATACCAAAAACCGACACATCAAACCCTTGGCTCTTTCCGGCAAGTTTGGTCACTCACCGCACATTGGACCGGGGTGGTGGCGTACGTACCATGTTGCATATACGAGGTCCCAGCAATGAAACCGCCGCTGCAGATCCTCACGCGTCAAATACCCCGGCAGTTATGCTACTTGGTGTCCGTGTTGTGCGTTGGGCGTGAAGTGAGACAAAGTAAGCTAAGGATGGCGTATCCCTATTGCGTGATTCGACGTGCTGGTAGCGGCATGGTTTCCTTTAAGTCCACCGCACCTTCGGAACTTTTGAGCCTCCCCCACAACAAACTTACCAATCATTCCAGAAGAAGAACAATTACAAAAATACATTCTTAGCCGTTCAGACTACTACTACAGGACCCGTACATCTGCGACCTAAGACTTTCATTAATCCCAGACCGTACATCTGGGAGAGGAAGAGTTGGGAAGGTTTACCGGATCCCTCACCGCGAGTGCTTTCGGTACAAAGCAAGTACTTCAAGTGGTACCTTCCTGATTTCCTTTCGGACAAAATCCAGCATAGTCATGGCTGCGTGTCTTACCTCCGAGATGCTGCAAAAATCCCACAGCCCTATCATCGCCAAATCACCACCTTTCAAGACCGCCTCCGTCACAATCACAGAAGTCACCACACCACCATCACCAGAAGCCAATCCAGCGCCTCGCCCACAACGCCAGATCCTCCGCGATCCAGCCTCTATCACCACAGAATTCGATGAACTTCGGTTTAATGCTGCAGCATACACGCAGCTCATCCGGCGCCAGGACCAAAACCTCAGTGTACACAAAATCCCAGACCAGGAAAACGAACGAGAAGAAACATCATGTTTACTCATCAGCTCCCCCTACAATCTTCCCGGCCACTACCTAGACATCACATCCCCCGCCCTACCCACCTCATCCCGCCTCTTCGCCCTCGCTCTCACAGCACTCAAACCAATCGTGGAAACCTATGCAACAACATCCTACACCTCTGCGCTAAATCTCGACGATGTTTTGAGTTTACTTCGGGACTTGGTTCGTGAAGAAGAGGAGTTCAAGTGGAAAGAAACATCCTTTTACGTAGTAACCTTCCGATCTAAACTCAAGGAAAGCGTTGATAACGATTCGCTGTACAAGCTTGATGCAGAGAGTCATCGAGAGGCGTGTGAGAGTGGGGGGTTATTGAAGTATTGGTTTGGGAAGACGGATGGGGAGAGGAGAAATTTGGCGACTTGTGAGTTTTTTTCCATATTCCTTTCCTGTCTTGCTTCTTTTGATTTCGAATTGGGGCTTTTTATTCGGACACTTCGATTTCCGAGTTCAGGTCTATGGTCACATTGTGAATCGAATACGGACTAATACGGTAACAGGCTTCTGGCATTCCCGTGAAGACGCGTACAAGGGTGGTCTGGGGCCATGGCATAGGAAAGCTCGCGCTGCAGGTCGTGAGCTATATGAGTCTATTATTTTCACTACTCACCGCTTCACTGTTCTGGATGGAGCTGAGGGATATAGGTTTGAGGATTGGAATGCGTAAGCGAGAGAAGTGGTGTATGAGGTGGTTTATGTCAGTGAAAAAAGATTGGAATAGCCAGGCTGCTGTCGTCAATGGGATGGAGGCAGAGATGTCCGATTCAGTGGTATGTCGCTGCATTGAAACACATCAAGATCATAGAGCGAAAGAGAACCTTAGTAGATCACTTCTCATCTCTTTGTTTCGATCGTGATGATGCACATGTATGCATGTGTAGAAAGATGAGGGCTGGCAAGTAAAGAGTATGGGCTAGTGCTGTGTCCCGCATCTGCAATACATATCAGCCAGAAGCCACGAGTTAGAGCAGTGAACAGAAACTCGAGAGAAAGTCATCGAGAGGCTTCAAAGCAAAAGTCTCCACCTGGATCCGAACATATGAGTTAATGTCTCGAACCAAAGGTGAGAGTGGGTCCGGAGTGTGATGTACAGCGTTCAATTGCCCAAACGATCTATACCATGCCCTACTGTACAATGCATGTTCCGCATGCAAAGCTGCTTGAATTACACAGAATGATCTCGTTCCACCTCCCCATCCGCACGAGTTGCATAACTTATGGTCGGATAACGCGGAGGCCGTCTTTTGGGGGTGCTGCTGCTCGCTTGAAGGACTACACCGGAGATTAGCAAATTGACTGGAGATCTCTGGGAATTTGGAAACTCACGTTGTCACATTCTTCCCATGCTCGTCCACCACCGAAACCGAGACCGACGAATGCGGGCCATGCACGTCGCTTGAAGAGGAGTACTGAGAAGACGACGCCGAATGAGAGGCCGAGACCGGATCGGATGAGCATTGAAGAGAGGCAGCGGTCCCACTATCATCATATATTAGCAATTTAGTCTGTTGTCATTCCTGCCCGCTTATCTGCGCAATGGGGTCGACTTTGGGCGTGCGTGGGGTGAAGTCGCGTGAGAATCATTGGCACATGCCATCAGATATGGCACAGCCTTCCCATGTCCGCAAGATTTCCAAATCGCATCCCTAGTCTTCCTTGGCCCCTCAGATGCAGGTTGCTTGCGGGATTTGTACCTTTTCGTTGAGCAGAGCTTCGCTCATGGGGCGTGTGGTTCGTGAGATGGACGCGACGGGCTGGGGGTTGTTTTCGGCCATGGCTGCGGAACTTGCGAGTGCAATTGATGGGTTCAACGGCGCACTCGGTGTGCTGGAGGTAAATAGAGACCGGTTTGACGTGGTGCTTGATGGGGCCTCTTCACCAGTAGCTTGAAAGCGGAACTTTGACGTCGCCGGCCCTTGGCACGAACTGCAAGGGTAGAGAGGTCCGTGCCCAACTTTTTTCCTATTATGCAAGTTACTTTGCGACTGTTCCTTTGCGACGACTTTTGCAATCTCAACAAGATTCAGGCCGCAAATATGGCGCTAAACAAGACGGTAAGAGGGGATCGTGGCGCATGTGACAGATATAGCTAATTGTGTAAAAGGCCTCAAAAAACGACCCTGCGTCTACCCGGCCACGACTCCAAGCCATTAACCAGGACTTCTCCGACCTGGACGAACAGATTTGCCAAGCTGCGCAAATTATCGGCCTTCCGGAGAACTGGAGCGCCATACAAGAACAGGAGGAAAAGGCAGAGATCATACGACGACTCGTGCGCGCAAGAGCAGAATGGGTGTTGCGATGGGTACTCGACAAGCTGAAGGATGACGCGGAGATCGGACGCACAGCTCGAGGGAATGTGACTGCATGGCAGCTTCTAGACTGGATGATTCACGTTCTTCCCGTGTCAAGAAGCGCCCCGCATTTGCGAGATGCCAGCTTCCCTAGCATACTAGAGAAGACGCTGGTCGAGAACTTTGACAAGGAAATGACTCTGTTGCCGACGGCCGAGTCTGAGGATGTTCATATGAAGGATGATTCCGAGTCGAGTGAGACTGTTCGGGAAGGAACCAAACCATCCAAGAAACGGAAGCGTGGAACAGCCGAGAAGCCACATTCGACATCGGCTACACTTGGACCAGTCAACCGCAGCCACCTCTTCCGTGTGGTTAGATTGGTTGTGGAATCTATTGTGAAGTTAGCCGCGGGGGGCAATGACGACGACATTACACAAGCCGAGCTCATGAAGATGGTCTTGAGGACCGAGAGCACACAAGCTTCGCGCATATTGAGATTCTGGCTTACGGCTGTTTACCAAATTGCGGACACCATGTCACAGTCGAATACCCAGGGTTCTCAGGTAGATGACCTGATCGACCTGCCTCTTATAATTGAGATTTGGGATTTGCGGACAGCCGACACCAAGGATGAGACAGGAGCCTCTGCCGAAGAGTTCAACACCGAGTGTCTTGTACCTACACTCACCCTCCTTGAGCAGCTGAAAAGCTTGCGAGATGGAGTGTTACCACAATTCTCTGCATGTGCGATTCACCGCGCAACTGCAACACTCGACAAACTTCTCGCAAGACACCTACTCGCACCCTCAAGGGCTGCTTTCTTCTCTGGCACTGATTCCACCGTTCCGGCCCCAAGTATGCGAGATTCGACTGTTTTGGAAAGTAATCTGGAACCGCTTCGCGCAAAACTTTTATCAGCTGCCCAGATCGAGGATGGTGGAGATACCTTACCAAATGACCTAGCGTCCCTGTTTAACGCAGTTCCGCACATCCTAGATTTGGCTATCCGTGTATCACCCTCACGGACACCCAAGAGCAGGTCGATGGAAAAGCCATGGCTACAAGCCACATTTTCCGCACTTGCAGGATGCGCGGGATGTTCAATAACCACACCACCCGAGTTCATCACTCGGCAGACCGCTGTTGCTGGGCTCAGCGGTGCTCTTCGTGTTCTGCAAGTGCACCAAGTGGGCCTGACGCCTGATCTTGTCAGGAAAATCTTCTGGTACCACTGTGGTGTCAAGTATCCCGAACGTCAAGAGCGACAAGTACATTGGCTATTGATCGCGGCTCTAATCGAGTTGGAAGCATCGGTGTTTGTCACAGAGCAAAAAGCAAATGCCAAGCTCTCGCAGGAGCAGCACACTAATCTAGCCGAGTTCATTTTTGAGAGCATATCGCTTGTAGAGTTGGAGGGTTCAGGCTTTCCAGATGCTGAGAATGAAAGCCGCACTCTTACAAGCAGAGCTACGATCTTGGACAAAATTATCAAACCACTCATGTCCGCCTTTGTGCGCAACAGAAACTTGCTAGGCTTTATTCAAAAGTGGGACGACCAGTTAGTCCAGAGCTACAGGCATGGCAAGCGAAAGGCGCTCACAGAACGACAAGACATCGTCTGGGAAGACCGTGCCTTACACAGTGCCTTGGCGGAGGTCTTCGAGCAATCTTTGACCCAAGGTCAAATCACAACGCTGTTTCAAGAGCATCGAACCCGCTTAGCCAAGTTTGGCCGTGCAATCGAGACTGCCTCTAAAGAAGACGTCAAAATTAGGAAGCTCGCTGCATACAAGAATGCAGTGAGTAGTGCAATCCTACTACCGGCACTCCTTCAGTCGGTCCAGTCCGATACAATGGTTGAAGCCCTGCAGCCTGATCTTCATGCATTGCTCCTGACCTATGCCACATGGGTTCAAGAAGATACTTACGCCAAGTATACGCAACTCCAGCTCTCTTGGTTCACGCTGTGCCAACTTCTAGCAAAGCTTTGGCCAATCGAGCTGCACAATTTCTTGGACCTACAACAGGAGTTGCTACACCCGCTCCTAAAGCAAGCTATCAAAGACATCTCCACAGGCCATAGAGACAACGGACATCGTATCGGCACTCCTGCACAGGCGGCCGCGATAGTGTTTTGGCTCAATACATGTGACCAACTACAGACGGTGCCTGGCTCGGAAGAAATCATCCGCGATGGCTTGGGCGCGGTCATTTCAACCTTTGCTTCAACGCAGTTGGAGCCAGATGAACATATGAAGATGGTAGAATTATTCTGTGCCTACTCAGTCAAACTACTCGAACATATGGATGCCGGTGCATGCCGTGAATCACTGTGTGCTATTCTGTCAAAGTTTGAGTACTTTGGGGAATCGACCAGTGATCTCATTTGTAGATCACTCTCACAGTCCATCATTCAGCATGGGAACTCGTTAATACAACAGGCATATTCTGCGGCTCTTCTACAGACTCTAGGGCAAGAGGGCACGGGAACCATCCATCCCATGGTTCTAGGAGCCGTCCTTCACATTCGACCCGCGGCTCTATCCCGTGAACAGAGACAATCGATACTGGACCGCACGGCCGATCTTCTCAACTCTGGACGAGCCACTGCAACAGGACTACTGAGCGTCTTTGCACATCTCCAACAAGTACCGAACGCTACTGCAAAAATAACCGTCGATCCTAGCATCATCTTCAGCATCGCTGACCAGCTATGTCAACAGAATGCTGAAAGTGATTCAGCGTTGCAGCTGCTTCGGGAACTTGTTCAAAGGACACTCGGTCATATAATTCCTAATCAGAGTCAGGCCCAAAACAAGGAATTCTTCATCGAGTTCTCTGGAAAGCTTCTCTCCATAACCAAAGCGACCGATCAAATCTCGTTAGCTAGGCTCTCTATTCTCCGAGCGACTTCATTGGCTCAGAAGCAGAACTCGTTGCTTCATATTGAACGTTACATCGACCTTCTCAAGGAACTGCTTCGCGGTGAGGACATTGCGCTCCTCCAAGGAGCTTTGGATGCTTTCAACGAGTTATCGATACCGGTAGTGAAAGAGGTAAAGCTCTTCAGTCGCCTTCAGACCCATTTGCGTACCTGGATGGCGGATGCCGTAGACCTCAACGATTACCAGGGTTCCATGATTCGCATTCCGGTCGAGGTTATCGAATACGTCGCACGTGTATATACTCTGGTCACCAAATTTGAGCTCTACCAAGACATAAAATGGCTGATCCGCTTGACGCTTACGGTCCTTCGAGGCAGCCCGACCCATGTGCAAGACTCTGTGTACAAGTCCCTCAGGGAAGTAATCGAGCCGCTCCCCTGTTACGAGAAGTTGGATTTGGTATCCACGTTGGCAGTAGACCAACAGCCACCGAATGTTGCCGCATCGTACCGCATCCTTAGCGATCTAATCAATTCTATGGACGACAAGCTGGAAGACAACGCTGAGTTGACGCAAAAGCAACTCGCACTACTACCCAGGATCTGCGTTTTACTTGCGGAGAGCCCTGATTTTGAGTCGTTCAATGCCCTCCTCGACTGCGTCGATACCATTTTGAACGACAAACCTTTGCTTGCGTCACAATACGGTGTCGAATGTGTGTTCAGCATACTCGTCAAGCTCACATCTCGAAATAGCCCCGCGCTAACATCACAATACGCTTCCGAAATCTTCACCCGGTTGTGCCACACGAGTCGCTTAATTCTGCTTGTGCACCGCGGCCGTCTGGGTGGCCGCTTCCACCTGCTTCTACCGCTTCTACAGGGACTTCTGTTCTGTCTGTTCATTCCCAATGCCAGCCGCAGCGGCGCTCTGCCAACCTGGTTACGCAGAACAACTGCCACACAGCAAGTACATCTCACGCCCACTAACGCAACACAATTTTCGCGCCTGCTCTCTACCCTTTGCAACCCACCACAGTCATCAATCACAAAAGCGCATCAACACCATCAATCCCGCAAATCCAAAGACCTCAACGATCCCATCAAAGCAGCACGCGAAAAGGCTAGCAACTTCTTGTACCCGCTTCTTGCATCCTTCTGTCGCTACCAACTCAATGGAAGACTTGACCAAGAAGTGAGGGAGAGACTTATGATTGGCATCTTTGAAATTGTCGGAACGGCAAGCTTACATCGAGAGAGCTTGGATGCGATGTTTGCAGGTCTGGGTCGGAGTGAAAGGGACGTCTGGAAGGGTCTCTGGGAAGAATGGGAAAGCGTACATGGGAGGAGACAGGTTGTTGGTCATGGAGAGTGACAGTTCAATTTCCCAAAGAGTATGGCATAGAACGTTCTCGGCCCATCATGGTACAAATAATATCAGGGTCTGCTACCTGAGCGTCCACGCAAAGCATGATTGTCTGTTATTTGCGGGTATTGCAAACGCCCGTCGTTCAGTTCAATCTATCTACCGATACAATTGCCCCACTTTTCCCGTTCACACCCTTTCACCTCGCTATTATCTTGCAGTGTATCGACAGAAGCCACAACACTGTGATTGTGAGTTGCAAGTACAATAGAATCTGCGTCACCAACACCAAATCCGGACCGTGCGCACCCTCGCCCTTGTAGATATTTCAAAACCGCGCCTCAAGCATCTGTCAAATACTCAAACCTTCAAATTACATCGTGAAGAAATACCCCACTTTCCGTTTCTGAGTACTGGAGTCGCAACAAACAGACATCAAACTAAATACCGACACTGCCAATATCCACATCCAAATCCACATTTGCAACCATGGTCTCTCCAACTTCACCCGACAATGCGCAAACCGACATCAACTCCAAACCCACAACCATGAACTCGCATATCACATCCAAAACTGCGCAAATCGACACCAAAACCCCAACCGTGATCTCGCCAAATTCAACTAACACTGCGCAGCCCGACCCTAAAGCCAACTCCACAACCATCAACTCACACACCTCATCCAAAACTGCGCAACCCGACCCTTCACGCCCTAGGGGAATCTGCTTCTGCAACAAGCCCGACTATAAAGCCTACATCAAACCCATCATGCCCTGCAACAACAAGCGATGCCGACCCCGCTGGTACCACAAGCACTGCGTTGGAATGGACCACATACCTGCTATCTTTCTGGACTGGTACTGCGACCAATGTAAGCATCTTGCGCCACCCATTCCTCAAGACGGTAAGTGTGTCTGCAATACACCACCGTATGCGAATGGGCCGATGCGAGAGTGTGCGAAAAAGGGAGAGTGTAGTATACGTTGGTTTCACTATCCTTGTACGAAGGCGCAGGGTGACACTGGTGGGAAGTGGATTTGTAGGGAGTGTGAGAGTAGGGGTGAAGAACAAGAAGAAGTGAGTGAAGAGGCGGACAAGGCAGCTGCCGATGGCGAATCTGGCGCTGAAGAAGTTGGCGCTGAAGAAGGTGGGGTCGAAGAGGTTGGTGTCCAAGAAGGTGGTGTCCAAGAAGTTGTTATTCTAGAAGGTGATGTTGAAGAAGGTGGGGTCGAAGAAACCGGGGTGGCAGACGGTACCGGAGGTGTCTCTGTGCCTGAGGACGGCGCGGCGCAGGCTACCAAGCGCAAGCGTGACGACGAAGATGAGACGGCCCCAGTGGAGAATAAGAGGAAGAGTGTGGGTGAAGACGCTGGAGATGAGGTTGGACTAGCACATTCGCAGTCCCCTGAGCCTGAGCCGTCTGTTGAGTTTCAGCCATCTCTTGAGCCCCAGCCGTCTCTTGAGCCGCAAGTGGAATTCTGCATCTGCGGCACGCCAGATAATGAAGAAATGATTGGTTGTGACAACGCCGAGTGTGCTCATCAGTGGTACCATTTCGAGTGTGTTGGGCTGACGGCGGCGACAGTGCCGAAAGGCAAGTGGTTTTGTGAGGAGTGTCTGCAGAGGTATGGTGAGGGAGAGGATACTAAGGCTGCAAGGTGATGGATGGTGTACCATTCATAAAGGTATGCCGAGTTGAAAACCCGGCAAGTACCATCTGTACATATATAGACTGGAAAAGGTCTGTGGATAGGATCATTTGACAAAGGCGTATATTGGACTGGAGAATAGTGCGCTGGTTCGCCGTGGATCTTGAAGTTAGTACAGGAATGAAAGATCTATAACAGTGGAATTAAGGTTTTGTGAGATTTAAGGAGTGGGATGTTTGTATACGTCAAGTTAACATGCGTCTTATGGGTAAGCCTAGCGATAACATTGCTGTATAAGCCAAGGAATCACTTTATCCATCTGTACAATTCCTTGTTATCACATCCTCACACATCACAATTCATGAGAACACTGGCAGTCGACAAGTCAGAGAAAAGCTGCGAGACCTGTGAGAGATATGGATCACAATGGAATTCAAGCTCAAAATGTCTATCACCCCCCAACACCTTGCCAACGCATCAACCAGCGCCAACACTAGACATCAAGCAAACTCCAATAGCCCATAAAATCCATGAGTCCAAGCAATCGAATGGTTCTACGGGATGTACAACATTCATGATCGGCAGTGGTCTAAGCCGAAGAAGTCGTCGTCACCTGACTAGAGCTGGGGGTGACATGAGGGAAGGGACCATCAGTGCTGATCGGTGCTCCTTCGGGAAATTCCACCACCCTCGCCTCGTTGATGCGGACTACGCCGTCGATCGTAGCGGTGACGGTGCGGGAAGAGAAAGTGCGGCCGTGGGAGTCGATGTTGCTGGCAAGGTCGGGGGTGTGAGGTGTGACCCTGGGACCATACAAGGTGGAGGTTGGAAACGCGGTTCCAGTCTTCGCAGGGGTGATGAGACGAGTGTTTGAACCCAAAGACAAGAACCCGGAAGTTGGGATCGCCGCTTCGGTCAAATACTTTGTGACGGTGACCACCTTGACCTTCTCTTTGACGGGGAGCTTGTTGTACGCTGTTGAAGTGTGTTAGTGGACAAATTAAGATACTTAGCATTTCATAGCACGTACCATTGGATCCACGAATGGCGACCTCGAATGGAAGATTGTGGTAATCGACAGGACCAATCTTTTGGCCTTCGTTGGTGCACTGAGACTTGGTGACGGGCTCTGAGTACAGTGCACACCTGGTGACAGCAATGGCGGTGGGGTTGGGGCAATTTTGGCTGGGCTGGACGCCGGGTTCACGCTGGACGTAAATGTTGACTGAAGAGATATTGTGAGTATGCTGATGTTATTGAGTGTAATGGATTGACATACAACCATCACATCCGGCGTGCATGTTGCACGCCTGGGCACAGGCCGTCGGGTTGTAATGCTTCAGCGAGATGTACGTCATGTACTTAGGAGATGCGATAGCACAATCGGCGGCAGTAATGACTGCCTCGTAGCCAGGAACGTTCCTGACAATCTTGGAAATATGGGTGTAGAGTTTTTCGTTTTTGAAGCCATCAAGGGTGTTGACGACTGGCTCGGGGGCAGTGCTGGGTCCGTTGGAAGCGCAGAGAACAGCGTAGCTTCCGCCAACGATGAACGGGATGATGTTTAGGTACTTCATCTTGGATGAGTGATGAATGATGAATGATAGAGCTTGGAAGAGGAAATGTTTATGTGTGACAGGTATGTTTTGTAGCACTATGAGAGAAGTAGAAAGAGATGATGAGGAGAATACTTATAGAACACCAGGCTGAGGAAACTCTTGTTGGGCCCTGAAAAGCTAGAGGATCGCTAAGAAAGAGTTGAACAGAGGGTATCCCAACGTGCTAAGTGTAGTCCCTGTTGAGATCATTTGGTTCTATGCTTTCAGCGAAACTCTCGGTCGATCATACGCCAAAGACGACGATGTGACCCATGCATTACGTGAATCCACTTTCTTGGGTGCCAATTTAGGACATATCGCATGTTCTCACCACTTGCATTGTCGACAAAATATGGTAGCGACACTGGTTCCGTAGTACAGTCGACCCGAGGCACCATCCCCAAAACTACCGCATCCAAAAGTCTTCAAATCATTACATCGACGCAGCAAATTTGCGATCGAGGAGAACCACCAGCCTGGATTGTCGACGTGCACATTCGAGTGACTGGCAGCCAAAGAGGGTCTAAGAGTCCATGGCCTTGATGACATCTTCAAGCGATCAGAAAATATTCCGTAGCGTAGATAGGCTTAAGAAATCTTAATGATACGTACAATACACCCCAAATGCCACAGAAAGGGTCTAAAGTTACGTTCGTATGCAGGGTATATGGTGATGATCTATGGCCGCTAGTACTCAGAGCCGGAAAAGACCGCTTTTGCATGTAGACCTTACCCCTAGAATCATATTTATGTTTCTCAATCCTGATCATACCACATCTCCCAAAAGAAAATAACTTGGTCAAGGGTAGTTGCGCTCTGCAATCAACAGGCATCGGATGCGGATGCTGATGACGTAATGCCCCCGCGCGTTCGGAGCTGCGCCAGGCATACATCGCAATCGCCAGCGATAAACGCAACCCTCCTACCTTTCAGCTGGCGTAGATATTCAGCATCAAAATACTCACCATGGAGTTAAGTCAATGTACCGATCACCCATGTTGTATCAGACATCGGGAGCATCTGAATTCGGCCGAGATTCCTGATCCACGTCACAACATGACGAAATTCTTCAACGATATGAAAACAATGAACCTTACAGTACTATTCGAACAGCAAGGACTATGTACCATTCCACACATCTACTCTGTTCTTTACCAACGCACACGTACTTTTGCTGCAACCGTGCGCAGTTTGGTGGATAGGGCTCCGGCAATGTGGGCAGAAGCGGCCTGCCTACTGGTGGATTGGAGCGTACACGTGTTGCGACGCAGGGAATTTGGATTGGAAAGGTTCTTGCCAAGTCAAAGGGAAAGTCTATATTGGACCCTTGACGACGCTTTGCTGAGGATCTGTGTGGATCAATGGGACCCACCGAAACCCACAAAGTCGGGAACATCATCCCCATCCCCATCAAAAGCAAACCCGTGGGATACAGCTTCAGCACCGATAGCATTATCTCTTTCCAAGGCCCAGGAGCTGTTGCCGTTGTGGGGCGAGCAGGAGCTAGAACATTGGGGTTGGGATGGTGCGAAGGCCGAATGGTTCGAGGCGGGGTGGTTTCGACGCTCTAGGGATTTCCTGAGAGATAGTACGCGTATCCATGAGATATGGAGAACTATGAGTCGGTGGGGCGAGGGGCAACTCCCCGCTGAGTTGGCCAACGTAATTGTTGAGGATGTGGCGAGCTTTGAGGACTTGCCCATGGGCGATCTCAGGGCGATGTATTTTCCAGGGAAGAAGTGACGAAACGCTGATCTAAAAGGGGTTCAGGATAGTAATTCGATCGCATTAAGTCGCTACATTGGCGCCCCTCCACCTAGCCACCCATCTTGCATTTCTCCGCCCTTTGCGTCATCCAGAATGGCAAGTATGTCATCTTTCCCGCCCATGCCCTCCATCACCCCAAACACATCTGTCAATGTTCGTTCAGCGACCTTGTTAATATCCTGCTTTTTGTCAATCCCAGCTTCCTGCAGTGTACTTGGTAGCTCCAGAAACCTCACGAAATTGCTTACTGCATCCGCGAGGCTTGATTCTTCGCCCTTGAGAACTTTGTTCCAAATACCCAGCACACGTTCCTGAATCTGCTTCTGCCTATCAGACTTGGACGCAGTGTAGCGCAGGACGGGGGCAAGCATGATGCAGGATGTAACGCCGTGCATGACACCGCAAACGCTGCCGAGCTGATGTCCAATGGCGTGCGAAAGGCCCATTGGCACGTTCCATAGTAAGAGACCCATCATGGCATTGCGGGACCCGATCTGACAATCTTCGATCCCGTCGAGCAGTTTAGTGTGGTCGTCTTTACTTTCACCGTTCTTATAGTCTTTCAGCCCTCTAAGAAGCACCGCTAGTGCATCTTCCATGTGGTGGAATACTTCTTCTTTGCACTTTTCGTTCACCATCTTGACAAAGCAATTTCATTAGCACGTTTATTCCTGTGGTTTCGGTCTCAGAATCAGAAGGTACTTACCGTCTCGACACAATGGTCCACCGCGCGCATGCCGCTAGCAAGCCACAATTTCCTCGGCGAAGTCGAGGCGACCTCACGATCAAGTAGTATAAGATCCGGAGCTGCTTGCTCGCTTGCGAAATGCTGTTTCTTATGGGTCTGGGGGTTTGTTGCAGAGGAATTGTTGTTCCATTCGCTTGCCGACAGACTCGTTGGGACAAGTATCAGCTTGATCTTGGGATCATTCAGATTATCTGCACATCCCTTCTCTTGATCCACCAAACCCTCCATCGTTTCCACTGTGAGGTTGTCTGGGGTAAGATTTGCGTCCATCAAGCGAGCAATTTTGCTCGCATCAGAGTAACTGCTACTTCCTATGCTGATCAAGCAGTCCGCATTTTCTTCGTGTATCTTTCTTGCGATGTCCAGAACATCCTCGTAAGGAGAATGCGCGCCAACGCCGGACTTGGCCCCCACAACAAATGGCCCCAACCTCTCCTTGAGCTTCTTGATAACATCTGTGTTCTGATCTAGCGCTTTCGAATGCACAAGGAAGACTCGCTGACAGCTCCATGTGCCAATTGCATCAACAATGTCTTGTATGTATTCGGCGTTCAAGATGGCGTTGTGACCCTTCCGGGCAGGTGTGGGAAGCTGTTGGATTGTGCGCTTCTTGCGGCAGTAGTTGGCAAAACTCGACATTTTGTAAGAATGGCACAATAATTTTTCAGTTCTTCAATAAAAACGGAAAGGAATAGCAGGTGTATCACAACAGGGCGGAAGGTCATTTAGAGCGATGCATACTGTTCCCTGACGACAATCTTACCTCATACCTCGGCTGACCTTGATCTTCATCAGGACCCATCACCCCACTGGATACGAGGAACTTCTATAGGTGGAACGTACATAATAAATTGTCATTGCGTTGTTCTGTGACTTGCGTTTTGTAATGAGGTTCGTATTGACGGCTGATCCTCCAACCCATCGCTGATACTTAATCAGGGTCTCGCTTGCGTTAGTTAGATTCACGGAGAAGAACCCCGCTAATGGTGATCGTCATGCCTCGTGAGGCTGTCTCATATCCTGTTTTTTGTTTTTGATGTGGACATAGATATCCAGTAGTTTCTTGCGTATCCTGACATGTTGTACAACGAGGGAATGAGTTGTAAGGCTGCTCTTGTTACTGATGCTGCTCGCCTCTGAAAGTGCCATATACCTGAAGCGCACCTTCCACGCTCTGAATAAAGCCAAAGAGGAGGGTCAGAGCGACCACCGATATAGCGACCCAAAATGTATACCACTGAACGCCATTTCTACGGTCATACCACCACTGCGCAAGCGTGCGTGGGGTAGCTTCATCGAAAGCCTGCTTCAACACCACTAGCCTGTCATGCCAGTATATGAATTTCTCTATCTGCCGGTCGTCTGTCTTCAGGTGGCCGCATAGGGCGAGCTGAGGATCTATATCGTAAGATGCTTGCAATTCCCGGCAGTAATCTCTGGTGGCAGTATCGGACTGAGGAAAGAGAAGAGCGAGCGTACGCAGCGTCTCCTCGATAAGACCGCTGGGAAAGGTGGTGCTAGGACACGTTAGCGAATGGCTGTGAGCATATGGGCCTGTTCACCGTACTTGTGCAACTGTAATCCTAAGACTGAGACGTGATGGAACACGCAAAGTTTTGTATCGTCATCTATAATCCTAAGATGATCTAGTAAGTTGGCAGTTGGAACTATCTCGATACGGGCTATCCGCTTCAAGTTTGGCGCATTGAAGATACGTTGGAGTTTCACACCCTCATGACCTAGCAACGGAGATGCAGGGAAGCCTGAGCACAAGCACTTTGCGAGCGGTTCGGACTTCCAGTGTAGTTGTCTCCTGCCCGAAAATCCGTACTGGATGTGATCAAAGTCGACCATTAGCCATATATTTGCAGCGAAATCGACGGACCCATCGAGAAGCTCTTCCTCGTTGTCATGCGGCTTTGTCAACTTCGAGCGCAAGGCTCTCTGGATCTCATCACGAGTCTCGGCTTTCCGTAAGGAATGAATAATGTCTAGCAGGTCCTGGTGTGTACGTTCAAGTACATGGCGTCCATTATCGTGCAAAGCGCGTTCGCATTCCAGCTGATAAAATCTCCAATATGCTCCAATCGGATGTTCAGAATTTTGAAAGTGTGTTTGGACTAGAAGAGGTTCCCAGAGTTTGTTGATAATTTGCGCTTTTGCAATGGAATCTGGCGCATCAAAAAGGGAAGATGCAGTAGAAGCCATGCTGAAAAT